TTTGGGCTCCACTGCCCAAAGTGAAATCAATTTGGAGAGCCTTTTCCTTAAAACCACAGTAGTTGTATCTTGCATCTTATCAACCTTATCATTAATTTGCATGATCTGGCCAATAATATTGCAAAAGGTCTATTATTAGTACCCTTGTTTTAATTTTTAAGTAAGGAACATTCGATTCGTTTTAGCATGACCGACGTTCGAAGCACTGTAGGTATACAGTCACGCTTCCTACGTTGGGTGGAGGTACAATCTCAATTCTCTTTGACAATCTGACGATACCAGTAGGCGAGAAACTAACAATTTGGAAGGTCGCCGGTACAAAGAATTACTCTCGATATTTTGAACCACACGGCAGCCCTCTGAAGGTGTTCACTCATGCGGATAGCGGCAGCCGATTTCACTACATCGCGCCTGGAGTTTTGAGGACCCTCGTTTTGGATTTTAATTCAACAACACAGTTTAAAATCCGTTTCTACAAGTATAGCTATCAAAATGGTAATGATTTTTTTTTAAATTTTATGTTCTCATCTAGTTGGGCTGTTGGGCTAAATCGAAATATTGTGTATCACAAGTCACTATTTTTAACGACCGTTTTTTTAAATTCAACTAAATTTTTTGAACTGTGAGAATTCATTAGTAATACAGTATGAAGTTTGGCTGTAAAAGATTGTTAAATGTAATGAATATTGCTTATGGCCCAAGCGAACATACCACGTTCTTATATAGTAATGCTTATTTTGAATAAATCTTTAATTTCAATTACTATCCGGACTTCTGGTTTTTTAACTAGTTATCAACGAAATCGGCGAATCAGGAGAGATAAGCATTCCTATAACTCCATATCCAAACGATCTTTCCTTGATATACCGAATTACTGTACCAAGAGGATATGCAAAAATCACAGTCCATGGTAAGATTCGTTTGATTGCTACGGGCCCGGGATAAATTAGTGCCGTTATCGGGGGTGAAGTTACTTACTTTCGCATTCAAGATTGTCTGTAATGTTTTGCTGTTTTTCGCAATAGTTCTTGCACTTCACCCGCCTCCGCCCTCCGGGTATTTCCCCCGCGTTCCAGACCTCCCCACCGACCATAAATTATTAACCCAACAATTGGTACAATACGTAACTACCTTCGTGCTGTAACGGCCGGGGGAATTAAGAATAATGTCAAGTGTATATCAATGTACTATTTCAGACCTATATTTGCCTAAGTATGATAGACTCGACGTAGCTAGATTCAATGGAAAGTCATGGGACTTCGTAAGAAGCTTCAAAAACGACAGTGACCTAAGTAAAAACACTGTAGTGTCAGACAGCAGTTCAATCGAAGTAATCTACAACAAGCTGAGCGGAAATTCAGCCAGCAGATATAGGATCACGTATTCGATGATAGAAACTAGTAAGTTTGCATGTACGCATTTGCAGTACAATATATGAATACCTTTTAAAAGTATACCAATAACACAATATGTAACTGTTTATATTTAGTTATGGGTATGCATTTATTGTTAGTATATTCACGATTTTCGATCATACCACCAGATAATCTATTTCCCTTCCAGCACCGAAGACGTGCAAAACGTTCCAACACGTGAAAAAATCGCAGTTCACAAAATTTACAGAACTTTATGAAGGTATGTTGTAGCTAGCTTACAGTAATTCGTATGTATTAATAACTGTCTTTTTAACAAAATTGATAGACAGCAAATAGAGGTTACTATTCGTTTTCAGATAACCAGAACGAGTTGTGTAATTATTTTAGTATAATCTACTGGTAGGACAAAGGAATATTTGAAAAGAAACGAACAAATGAAATGTTAACAGTACCTGCACGTTTTATTCCTTGGCACTTTGCTTGTTGCGTTTTTAAAACGCGTTAACGATCGAATTTTATGCAAAAAAATTAAATAACTCTTTGTCAAAATCTTCTTTACCTTTAGTCTGCTCTATCTAAACCGATATAACCGATGACAGTTCATATGTTTATGGTTAAGGGCTTTACCTTAGGCTACTTTTTATAGGTTTTCAGATTAGAAACGAAGTTCGCTATTTTAAGAAATATTTTCGCGCCAGTTAGTCGTTGATATTTAAAAAACATACATCAAAAGGCTAAATCCGAGAATGGAATGGGTAGACTGACTGCATGGCGCAAAGTCCTTAATTTGAAGTTTATTTTCATCATGAAACTTCTCAAGGTTGGGAAGGGTCCTTCACTTGCGCTGATGGCTTTGGCAACAAAAGAGTTCTTAACCATGATGTCACCATATTATGCCAGGCCAATGGCGAATGGAAATATGGGAAAAAAAAACCGAAGAGTGTCGCAAATTATGCCCTCCGTTAGGTAGGACAACTTAATTCTTTTTTAGCCCAGTTGAACTATTAAGACGGGAGAGGGTGTGATACGGGGGGAGTATTTCTATACTTTCGATCAACATGTCAACTTTCATACTATTTTCAGTCATAATTTATTTATGATAGTATAGCATTAGAATTGCTTTTTGACTAGAGAAAACTGTTCTCCCCCCCCCGTTATCTTCAAAGGCTAAGGCGAAGTCGTATACTTTCTAGCTTCCCTTTACAATATATCTTCACGTGGTTTGTTTCGAACATTTGGTGTTACACAAGAGCACCTGAGTGGTGATAATGTGACATTTACATGCAAGGCAATATATACGAGGTTGACCTACAAGACTGTCACGTGTACATCAACTGGTGCCTACTCCGCACCTCCGCCGTTCTGCAAAGAGCTAGACAAATCCAGTATGTATCAAAATAGCCATATATAGCTATATAATAGCCGTGTTGATATTTTGACTTTTGTATGATATTTTGACTTTTGAGTTGTTCTGAATGCATTTCTTTGAATTTTAGATGGTTCAGATTTGGCTCTTGTGTTGTCCTTGTCGCTAAGCGTCCCACTTGTTTTTGTGATGATGCTTGGTCTGGGTTATATTATCTTGCGTTATACGACTTTCCTGAGTGCAGAATATCATAGAAAATTATTCGGTCCGTCGAACAGGCAAGAACAAAGACAGACAGTCCATCTGCAAGAAAACGTAGCGCTGGGCAATGGCGCAGGACTTTCAAACGATAACAGTCCTCAAAAAATGGCCGCGAATGAAGTTGGAATATGCTAATGGTAGTTGTGGCAATGTTGTAGGCCAATATTGCAATGTTAATCTCGATTGAACGCTGGTTTCGTTTTTACTCGATGTAAATAAAACAAATAAAGGAATATTTACCACTCGAAAAACTAATTTAATACCATTTCTTGTGTTCACTACTCTGTCTACTCCATGTAGGAAGTTCAGGCGTATTCCACTAACAGGAATTATATTCGCATAATGTTGCAGAAATTAAATTAGTTTTGTGTGACTGCATCAAAATATGCTTTGGATGAGTTAGGTCTTAGACTCAGCACATTGGCTGTATGAACGCAGACAAAATTTAACAAGACGCCTGTTCTGCCGTTAACTCCGGCGCACGTGCCAGTCTTTAATATAGAGCTTCTGAACATAAACAATACACCTGCAATACAGTTCATATTCGCATTGAACCTAAATGTTCGATCGCGAAATTCAGAAGCACATCGTACTTTAAAAAGTATAGTAGTTCAATTGTTCAAAAATGTAAATAAACCGCATGATACATTCGCTTTGTCTTACACTTTGCCTTTGGAATTCGCGCTTATATATTAAATCTTCAAACTACTTCTGTGCAAATTAACTACGACGTGTCAACGCGCCAATACACGACCACATCATCTTGTTAAACGGCGAAATAGCAGCGATATTTTTAAAATAGGACCAGAATCTACATGTATTGAATATATTCTTACCCCAATTCAATCTAAACTTAATCGAACAGCATGAAAAGAACGGTTTATTTGTTCCTCTTGGAGGAATTGCCGTATCATGCGAGCGAAATCGAATCGCGCATCGGAAAATTAAGCCAAAGCTGTGCACCACAACTCTTGGGAGATAAGACTGAGACCTAGATAAATACGGTCACATATACATTGTAAATACTAGAATTTTTCGCGCCATTTCAGACTTGCGACGACGAAAAGTAAAAAAAAAAACGACAAAACAAAACCGAGGCGAATTTTCAATTCCGTCGCTGGCGCCGGAGTAACTAGTGAACAAAAAGAGAGAGAAGAGGAAGTTTCAAATTCCACATTTAAGAACGATTTAATTATTTGTAATTCATGTAAATTTTTAACTCTAAAGAAGCGATATTACTCAGTAAATTTGGCATGTTGTAGAATGCGGACTGGACTGGTCAGGAAAAGTGTGGACTTGTAAATAACGGACTTGTAAATAACGGACTCAGTCCGTGATATAAAACGCGGACTTGTATAAACGCATCGTTATTATGTAACGCACACAAATTTGTGTTCCGGTGGATAGAGCGAGCGTGTGCTGTCGATGCAACCTTTCCACAACAGGTGTATATATCAGCCTTGTACCCCGGCGCTTTAATAGTAAAAAAATAATGTTGCGTTCAGTTATTGTATAGAGGTCAGCTGGAAAGAATGCGAGCGCGCGGGGGTGCTTGGGTGCCTTGGGTGGCTGTGAATATTTCCAGGCTGGAATATTTCAATTTTCAAATCAACCTTATCGCAGGCTAAAATAGAGCTCCACTCAGTCCACTGGAATCTGGATTCCAAGACTATGTGCACACGAGCGTCGTTTTCGCGCGTTTTCAAAATCGTTTTTATCTAGTCTATCGCTTTGACGCCCTGTCCACACTATCCAAAGGAAAATATTCTCAATATGTTAAATTAGCTTCAACTTCTATGGTTTTTTGACGATGTTTGAAACCGTTTTGGCATGAAAACGAAAATGAAAACGCTCGAAAACGTTACCGTGTGCACATAGTCCAAGAATCAAATTTCCGTGAACAAAGTGAACCACAGCTTAATACTTTAATTTTATAATGCGATCGTTTCGTTGAATTTATTAAGCCAAGGTGCAAGAGAAGCTGAAGCGAGAAAAGCAATGGCGAATGTTTCACCTGACAGTGGTTCTGTTGATGAAATCAAAGATCTTCTCACTTGCTCATTGTGCTCAAATATTTTACATGATCCAAAAAGCTTGACTTGTCTTCATAATTTCTGTAAAGGATGCTTAGGTGCGTATATGATATTACTTTGAAATTATAGTTGTTGTATTACGACGCGTGGTTATAATGGTTATAAGTGGTACTCGCTCGAAATTTGTGTGTATAGCACTATAGCTTCGCCAACTTTAGTAATTTAATCAGGGCAACGTGGTTTCGATTTCGTGGTGACGCTTCTGACACTTATACTGCTAAAAGATATATTTAAGAATTGCTTAATTATGTCACATGTCAGTTTTCATACACTACAGTACAAGGTAGCTTTGAGTGCAGTGTATTACAATGATATAAATGAATTCACCCACTAGGGGCCTTATATATACATACTCCCCTGCAATAAAACTAATAGTAACATAATAAAAAAATATAATTGAACCTAGCTCCTTTTGCTTCAAATCACAGTAGGTCAATCAATCTGCTGTGTGGCAGTAGAGTAGTTGTCTGTCAAATATCACTGTGAACTAATATGTTTTGGTATGTACCGACTATTGTCTATTACAAATCCTACATTCTGATTGGCTACTGAACCATTGTCTATTCGTGATGGTGAACATTTGGGAAAAATTCGCTCGCGCTACCGTATAAGATTGAATTAATTAAATTATTTTTCGGTGTAATTGCAGTGTATCGATTATTTTCTCGAAATTAATATATCTTGCCTTTGTTGTCTATAAGCGAATAGTCAACTCAGGCTTCGCCTTTGTTGACTATTCGCTCATAGACAACTTGGATTCTAATAGTCTAATTGTTAAATAGTAGCTAGTTGACTAAATTAAAGGCGAGTAAGGGCTGTTTACATGATCGAAGTGTGAGATATGACTTTGAGGTATTGAAAGAAGTCTTTATGACATCAAACAAGCACATGCTATTGTACATAGAGGTGATAAATTACACAAATAACATGATTGCCTGGATCCCAATGTTATATACTCATTTCAGTACCTCAAAGACTTCATGTCATGTGTTGTAATATTCATTTAGAAAAGTATGTTGAACGTCTTCGTGGTGGTGACCAAAACATTGAGACATTTCCATGCCCTAAATGTCGCTTAGAGTTTACCTTTAAATCACATCAAGATTTGGCTGAAATGACAAGTAATTGTTTCATCAAGAATTTGCTGGATATTTTGGAGATTCAACAGAGAGCCAAAAGTTCTACTGAATGTTTCCGCTGCAAAGATCCTGCCATCAAACACTGTTCATCATGCAAAATCTTCATGTGTGACAAATGTTCAGAATCGCATGACATATGGCCAGCTCATAAACACCACAATGTACTATCTGTAAAAGAACTAAGTTGTCCTAAAAGTCAAATAAAAATGAGAAGGAAGCCTCACTGCATAAAACATACAGATAAAGTGCTGGATTATTTCTGTAAAAGTTGTAAGGAACTTTGCTGTATTGACTGTGTTGTATTAAATCATCAGAAATCCAATCATTTGTGCGTGGCTATGAGTGAAGTTGCACAGAAACAAAAAGAAACATTGCAATCAAGCTGCTCGACGCTTGATAAGAAATTATCAGAAGCAACCGAAGCTTTGACTAATATTGAAAGTGCAATCAGGTCTCTTGAAGAAAATGCAAAAACTGCAAAAGATAAGATCAAAGAACAGAAGGAAAAAGTTTTGAAGATTGTGACCAAAAAAGTTGATGAGAGAACAAAGAAAATGAATGAAGAAGTGGACAAGACTTATGATGAATTACACAGTGAACTAAACAAACAACATGATGAAATTAAAGATTATCGTGACAAACTACAAGCTTCAATGCCCTTGCCTAAAAGTCTCCTGAAGAGGGGGAGTATTGAAGAAATTCTTTCCTTGCAAAAATTGATTGATGGAAGTATTGAAAAGTTGCGAAAAGAAAAGCCTGAGGATCTAACAGCAGTCAATGATGGCGATATTCAGCATGTACCTGGTGATATTAATAATATCAATGTTGATGAAGTTGTTGATAAGTTGGGACATATTGAAGGTATTTTTCAACATAATTCGCCTAGGTAGCATTTCAGTATCTTTATTTCAATGTCTTCCTATCAAATGTGGTATAACAATAGACCTATTCATTATTCAATGATTATGTCGCAGCATTATAGTTTTAGTTACATTAAAGTTTTATTCTTATGAACCATGAGCAAAGCTGCAAAGCATCTTCCTGAACAGTCAACACATGCATTAAATAAAAGTTTTAATTTTGGTCAAAAATGTGGAAATAAACTATAACACGAGAATGAAAGGCCAAGACCGGGAGCCTCTTTCTCGTGTGGCTTATATGAAGCCTTAAGGATGTTTTGTATCTTTGCATTAGCCTGTGCACAGACCTATATATCTGTGCACAGGCTATCTTTGCATGTGCCTCATTATTAATATATGATATGACGACAAATTTCACCTAATAAGATCACCAGAAAACGTAAAATACAAATACTATACTGTATTATGCGCGGGAAAATGCCGTATTATACCTTTTTAACCGGTTTTTCCCGTTTTCTGACCGATCTCCATGATTAATTTTTAGGATATACACGTAGTGTACATTTCAATTTAACAAATTCGTCCAGTATTTTGAAAGGAGAGATTGTCTGCATTAAACAACTTCAGAAATGGTTGGGAAAGAAATGCAACTGGAATCTTTGTTACCGTGCTTCAAGAGATGGTTGGAGAGCCAAAGATTTTCACAGTCATTGTGACAATAAAAGACGGACTGTGGTTTTGGTGAAGGCCAATAATTGTATCTTTGGTGGATACGCTGACGTAAGCTGGCAAGGTGTGTAAAATTATGTTTAATAAGAATTACGGCGTTTTTGTATTTTTTTCAATAAAATACAAGGCCCGATTGTATAAAACCCTTTAACTACATTTTGCATAGTTAAATCCTGGTTGACTCAGAAATGCACGTCTCTGATTGGCCAATTCTGTCCTTAACTACAGTTAAGAGTTCAGAACATCTGGCCATTAAGGCCCCAGAACATCAAAAAGTCCGCAGTGTAAAAATTTTTGGTATCATGATCTGTCATGGTTATTGGAAAGTCTTGAAATTGTCACTTATCATCATTAAACTACTGATAATAGTCATCACGTAGTTCAGTCGAACAAACCATAGGCATTCAAAGGAATGAATACCTTTGATTGTCTATGGTCCAACGTAGAAATTAATCTTCAAAAATGTTTACTTATTTCGGAGTTTCTATTGTTCTTTATGTAAGATAAGAAATTCTTCTTGACTCATCTGAATAATGTAGGTATCGATGGTTTTGATGTTATTTCGGTAAAAAATCCTGACTACATGACAAACTGTTCTTGTATGACTTTTATTTCATTTTTAATTAAGGTAATGTTGGGTGGAAAAATTCCCACTCTTCATTTATTTTTTCACTACGAAACAAAGACAACCTTGCTCCATTTATTGCTAACATCAAGCAAGGCCAGGAGGGAAGGGCAATCTACTGTGAGTCTAGTTATGGACCAACTTTTGGCGGGGGTTTTGATTTGCGCATTGTGAACAATCCTCAAGTTAATCAGTCATACAGTGATATTGGATGCTCATACCAACTTCCTTCTGGTTATATGGCTGGTAATGTACGAGCAAATAACCTTCTTGCTGGTCAGTACGAATTTTTAACCACAGAAATAGAAGTCTTTAACTGAGAACTGTCATACTGTATATACTGGTGGCAGCCGGCCCTGACAGTCGCTGATTACTATTGCAAAGATCTGGAAAGAAGTTAAGTAGTAATATGGATTGAACGGATTCAATTAGACACATGTTAACATTAACGTGTTTAAGGCAGCCTCGTACCCAGGCGCTTTATTGGAAAACATAAAGGCTGCATTCAGCGTAATATAGAGATCTGTGGCTTAGATGTGCGAGCGCGCAGGGGTGCGTGTAAGGGCCTGTTTACATGGAGCGAGTTATCCCGGCTATAGCGAGCTAGGTCAAAACTGCATATAATAAAAGACAAATCAGGTAAGCCTTTGATCTGATGCGCTTTTTACCTCGCCTAGCCAGGATAACCCTACCTCCTCCGCAGTCATATTTACCCGAAAAGGGCCTGCGGAGGAGGTAAGGGATAACCCACTCCATTTAAACAGGCCTTAATTAGATGCACTAATCTACGACGCGGACGTTGTAAATTGCCTTGCTCGCAATCAATTAACACAGATTGCCTTGGATTTAAAAGGTTTAATTTTTCTTGACACAACTATTCGTCATCATGGTTTTAGCTACTCCTCATTAAAAAACATACATCAGAAGGTGCTAAATCACATACACTACAGACGTACAAACTGCTACTAGTGTGAGGAGACCAGTAATAATTTGTTTTACATCGCAGCTTTGACTTCGTTTATCAAAAGGAGTCAAATAGGAGTAATTTTCATCCCTGTTGGGAAACTGTGGAAATTAGAGCCGTTTTATTTTACGTCCGCGTCGTAGATTTGGTGAATCTTAATTTGGGATCAACTGACTGAACCCTATTGTTAATTGTTTGTGTTTCCTCACAACTCTAAAGTTCTTCATAGTTGTGTTTGAAATAACTTTCTACCTCGATACTTCTAAAATACTTCCACATTGTCGACGTATAATAGTAAAAATTATTCCGAGAAGACGAAGCGACTATCGCTAAAACTAATCACATTAAATATGGTTTTCTCTACTAAAGGGCATAAAACTAGATCGCGCTGTCATAAGATTGTTGAATTTGGAAAAATTTTCAAACCGATTAGTCTCAGCGACTAATACCTCTCAGAATTCTTACAATAATGGAATTTGCTTAGTTGCATTATTTTCAAAATAGTTTTGTTTCGTTACAATGCGTCCTATGTCATGGTCGATTTATTTATCAGAAGTGTGATTAGCTGAAAATGTATTTCATTTTGACCGAATTTAAGGCGGACAGACAAAAAATGCTAAATTGTATGATAATCAACAAAAGGCCCGTGTACTCGTTTGTGCTGTTGCGTTTAAACTTTTCCCACAAATTTGCTGATTTGCATTCATCCGTCAGTCCTTTGATTTCTGTTCCGTTTTTTTTTGTAACATCTAGCGCTAAGTTCTTATGTCAATTACAGTAGTTCCTTTCTCACTCAACGACTTACGTTATGATTTTAAACTACAGTGGGTCAAATGTCAGCAAAGCAACAGAGTTTAGGGGTAAGTCAAGCAGGGCCTCTCTAATCATATAGACTGGGGATCCAGGCCCCAATGTTGGTCCCCCAGTTAAGTATTTTGCCCCTCAGTAAAGATCCTCTGTTTAAAGGAAACATTGATAAAAAGTAAAGATTGCATTAGTTCCCGACAATATACTAGCATTGTATTCTATAAGCTAACCTTTGCTGGATGTAATTACTCCGGCGTCAGCGACGGAGTTGAAAATTCGCCCTGGTTTTGTTTAGTTGTTTTTTTTTTTTTTTTTCGTCGTCGCAAGTCTGAATGGCGCGAAACATTGTAGTATTTAAAATGTGTATGTAACCGTATTTATCTACGTCCCAGTCTTATCTGCTAAGAGTTGTGGTGCACAGCTTTGGCTAATTTTCCGATGCGCGATTCGATTTCGCTCGCATGATACGGCAATTCCTCCAAGATGAACAAATAAACCGTTCTTTTCACGCTTTTCGACTAAGTTTAGATTGAATTGGGTTAAGAATATATTTAATACATGTAGATTTTGGTCCTATTTTAATAATATCGCTGCTATTTCGCCGTTTGACAAGATGATCAATGATGTGGTCGTGTATGGGCGCGTTGAACGTCGTAGTTTGCACAGGATTGAACATTTAATATAACTATATAAGCGCGAATTCCAAAGGCAAAGTGTAAGACAAAGCGAATATATCATGCGGTTTATTTACATTTTTGAACAATTGAACTTCTATACTTTTTAAAGTACGATGTGCTTCTGAATTTCGCAATCTAACATTTATAGGTTCGCAAGGTATCTAAATGCGAATATGAACTGTATTGTTTATGTTCAGAAGCTATTAAAGACTGGCACGTGCGCCGGAGTTAACGCCAGAACAGGCGTCTTGTTTCACTAATAGGGAGATTTAGCATGAAGACGTGAACGTCAAAGATGACGTGAAAATGGCGAGTAAATGGCGTGGCATGTTCATATTTGGGCGCATCACGCCATTTATTCGCCATTTTCACGTTGTCTTTGACGTTCACGTCCTCATGCTAAATCATCTATAGAGCGTGAAAGCATAATATTTTGCATATTATTTTAAAATCAGGCAACTGATGTCAAAAAATTTCCAAGTACCCCCGATCAACCTTTGTACTTTGCAATGCACCCTCCCCCATTCATAACAACCTGCTTGATGTCAAATAGGCGCTCGTAATAAGGCGCATGAAGTCATCTATTCGGACAGCATTCGTCATTGTTACCGGCTACAATCCGCTACATGCGTCATGTTTACCGGTTCCTTTTAAACCATGACGTGTAAGGATCTTTATCCATGCTCAGCACTTCCGCGACTAGTAATTATGCATCATTCCATTATTTGATTAAAATCTCTCGAAAACCGAATGCGCTCAAGCAAAGGAAAGCGCCATGCTTTTGTTTGTTTTTTTTTTGGTTAATTAATTGACACACCGTCATTGTTTTCAACTGACGAAGTCTCCGACCTACTTTTAACGTATGCAAAAGAATGTGTGTCTTGCTGTCTTGCGCTAGATTTGTAGGATAAATGGCGGGGGTTTTGATTTACGTCAATTAGAAAATTATACGTACATCCTTTATGTTTATTAATACATTGTTACCATGCTGTATAAGAAAGGCTTCCATGTTTGAATTTACATTTTCAAACACAGCTACAAACAAGTTTCATAAGTTCATATTCAAAGGAGTGGACGTCTGGTGGCTGCGATCAGTGTAGACTGATTTTTTTGCATCATACATTTTCGGGGGGAGTATGGAAATGTTGAAAGCAATGACTATGGTTTTTATGTGCGTTTTTGCGGCATTTTTATTCGCTGTTCAAGGTATTGTTCCATGACGTTCTTCTCGAAGACGTTTGTTGATTTCTTACTGTAATTTTATAATCATATGAACCATATTGCAACATAATAAACGCAATGAATATTGCATTTATTAATACCAAATTTCACATCAAATGTTAAAAATGTAAACACTTCAGTACATGTATTGATCTGGGAAGATCTGGGAAGCACTCGCAGCACAAAGCAGTAGGTATATGTGTAGTGGTTGTGATGTTTAAAACCTTGAAAATCGCTGTAGCTATTAGAGTAAGCTGGGCAAGAACAAGTGGAAATATTCTATACTATTAAACCTGACCTTAGACCTAATCTATATTAGGCCTAATCAAGACGAAGGCTTGAGTGTTTAGCTAATATGTAGACATATACCAAAGTATGATGACATACAATTTTTGACATACAAAGAAAGTATGATGGGTTTAACAACATGGTTTAACAATGCATTTTTTATGATTTAGCTGCAGCAAAGCCAGTTTCTCTTGATGCATTTTTCTTTGAACAAATACAAGATGATAAAAATGTTACTGGTGCTTCCAAAATTTACACCATTGAGGTATTTAAAAAGTCCTGCAATTGTAATCTGCGCTCCCGCTATTTAATTTCCCTTAATATACCAGTGTTGCCAAAAAATCAGCCTGGCAATTTAGGCATTGCTATCACTGAAAACTGGTATATATTTTGCTCATCTGCTCCAGACCAGCTTATTCCTTAGTCATTTGGATGCCTATGTGCATATCAGATTTAAACCTTCACCGTCTATCTAATTAAGCCTATCATACATGATCTTGCCAATTATTTAAACCATATCCACTATCCCAATTAATGCTCACCTCAATTAATCCTCATAACCATGAGTCATCAAAATAGAAACTCTCTGTTGATGATGTCATGTTATATATGCAGTGTATATACTGAAGAACTTTGTGACCAGTAATGATGACCATGCCCTAACATTAGTTAATTATGTGTAGTGAGTGACGTACATCCAATACATGGAATTGCAAAGCTTTTCTCTACCAATAATATAGGCAATACAACCTAGAAAATATCACAAGAAGCCAAGATTCTATATTCCTACCTGTAAATAACCTATTCTGTTACTTCATCTTGCAGACTAGTGATCTAACAAATACAACAAGAAGTGAAAATGTACTTCAGCTCTCTTTTTTACAACATAATTTGTTACCTGGAGACAAGGTGACCTTCTATGATGGCAACTTTACCAGTATCCTGCAAGAGTACACATCATCAACAGAAACTCCTACACTATCATTCTTTACAACATCACCTGATGCACAAGTTGTGTTTACTGCAAACAAATCTGATGTCACAACAAGCAGAAGTTTTATTTTTCTCTACCGAACTATCCCTAAAGGTATATATAAATATTGTTAATGATTTAAACATTCTCTCCTAGAGGTGCAATGAAATTACTTTCACTAATATAAGGGCTGCAGGTATTGTATGTGATTTAATATCCTCTATGTCAACAGTTTTTTATATGATCAATTCTATGTATTGTCATCATATTCTTCTTTGCAGGGTATAATAGAATTTTGTGACAACTGTATATACTGAAAATAACCTAGCTAGCTAGCAATAAAGCTGTCCCTTTAGTTACAGTATATACTGCACATGCATATGTGATTATTAGATATCGAAATACATTTTTATCACCCTTTAGATGTTGATAGAGAATGTAATCAACTGTTTTATGGAAGATGGGGAAGTATAGACTCTAGTGAGGTAATTATAATCTAATAAAGTTTAAAGCTTCTAAGAACACCAAGACATTTGGTATTCTCTATTTTATCTCAGTGCCAGGTAGATTAGGTTAACAGCACATTCGAAAAAGTTGATAAGTCAATTCTAGACATGATCAACATTGACTTATCATTAAATGGTTTTAATAAACAAAGAAATTTGACTTTATAGGATTGAAATTTTTGGGCTCCACTGCCCAAAGTGAAATCAATTTGGAGAGCCTTTTCCTTAAAAGCACAGTAGTTGTATATTGCATCTTATCAACCTTATCATTAATTTGCATGGTCTGGCTAATAATATTGCAAAAGGTCTATTATTAGTACCCTTGTTTTAATTTTTACTTAAGGAACATTCGATTCGTTTTAGTATGACCGACGTTCGAAGCACTGTAGGTATACAGTAACGCTTCCTACGTTGGGTGGAGGTACAGTCTCAATTCTCTTTGACAATCTGACGATACCAGTAGGCGAGAAACTAACAATTTGGAAGGTCGCCGGTACAAAGAATTACTCTCGATATTTTGAACCACACGGCAGCCCTCTAAAGGTGTTCACTCATGCGGATAGCGGCAGATTTCACTACATCGCGCCTGGAGTTTTGAGGACCCTCGTTTTGGATTTTAATTCAACAACACAGTTTAAAATCCGTTTCTACAAGTATAGCTACCAAAATGGTAATGATTTTTTTAAAATTTTATGTTCTCATCTAGTTGGGCTGTTGGGCTTAATCGAAATATTGTGTATCACAAGTCACTATTTTTAACGACCGTTTTTTTAAATTCGACTAAATTTTTTGAACTGTGAGAATTCATTAGTAATACAGTATGAAGTTTGGCTGTGAAAGATTGTGAAATGTAATGAATATTGCTGATGGACCAAGCGAACATACCACGTTCTTATATAGTAACGCTTATTTTGAATAAATCTTTAATTTCAATTACTATCCGGACTTCTGGTTTTTTAACTAGTTATCAACGAAATCGGCGAATCAGGAGAGATAAGCATTCCTATAACTCCATATCCAAACGATCTTTCCTTGATATACCGAATTACTGTACCAAGAGGATATGCAAAAATCACAGTCCATGGTAAGATTCGTTTGATTGCTACGGGCCCGGGATAAATTAGTGCCGTTATCGGGGGTGAAGTTACTTTCGCATTCAAGATTGTCTGTAATGTTTTGCTGTTTCTCGCAATAGTTCTTGCACTTCACCCGCCTCCGCCCTCCAGGTATTTCCCCCGCGTTCCAGACCTTCCCACCGACCATAAATTATTAACCCAACAATTGGTACAATACGTAACTACCTTCGACTTCGTGCTGTAACGGCCGGAGGAATTAAGAATGACGTCAAGTGTATATCAATGTACTATTTCAGACCTATATTTGCCTAAGTATGATAGACTCGACGTAGCCAGATTCAATGGAAAGTCATGGGACTTCGTACGAAGCTTCAAAAACGACAGTGACCTAAGTACAAACACTGTAGTGTCAGACAGCAGTTCAATCGAAGTAATCTACAACAAGCTTAGCGGAAATTCAGCCTGCAGATATAGGATCACGTATTCGATGATAGAAACTAGTAAGTTTGCATGTACGCATTTGCAGTACAATATATGAATACCTTTTAAAAGTATGCCAATAATACAATATGTAACTGTTTATATTTAGTTATGGGTATGCATTTATTATTAGTATATTCACGATTTTCGATCATACCACAAGCTTTTCTATTACCCTTCCAGCGCTTAAGACGTGCAAAACGTTCCAACACATGAAAAAATCGCAGTTCACAAAATTTACAGAACTTTATGAAGGTATGTTGTAGCTAGCTTACAGTAATTCATATGTATTAACTGTCTTTTTAACAAAATTGATAGACAGCAAATAGAGGTTACTATTCCGCGTTTTCAGATAACCAGAACGAGTTGTGTAATTATTTTAGTATAATCTACTGGTAGTACAAAGGAATATTTGAAAAGAAACGAACAAATGAAATGTTAACAGTACCTGCACGTTTTATTCCTTGGCACTTTGCTTCTTGCGTTTTTAAAACGCGTTGACGATCGAAATTTATGCAAAAATATTCAAATAACTCTTCGTCAAAATCTTTTTCACCTTTAGTCCGCTCTATCTTAGAATGTAACCGATAAGAGTTCATATGATTATTGTTAAAGGCTTTACTTTAGGCTACTTTTTACAGGTTTTCAGATTAGAAACGAAGTTCGCCATTTTAAGAAATATTTTCGCGCCAGCTAGTGGTTGATATTTAAAAAACATACATCAAAAGGCTAAATCCGAGAATGGAATGGGTAGACTGACTGCATGGCGCGAAGTCCTTAATTTGAAGTTTATTTTCATCATGAAACTTCTCAAGGTTGGGAAGAGTCCTTCACTTGCGCTGATGGCTTTGGCAACGAAAGAGTTCTTAACCATGATGTCACCATATTATGCCAGGCCAATGGCGAATGGAAATATGGGAAAAAAACCGAAGAGTGTCGCAAATTATGCCCTCCGTTAGGTAGGACAACTTAATTCTTTTTTAGCCCTGTTGAACTATTAAGACGGGAGAGGGTGTGATAAGGGGGGAGTATTTCTATACTTTCGATCAGCATGTCAACTTTCATACTTTTTCAGTCATAATTTATTTATGATAGTATAGCATTAGAATTGCTTTTTTTGACTAGAGAAAACTGTCCTCATTTGCAAGAAAACAAACGTATCTCTTCTTCCCCGTCAACCCCCCCCCCCCCGGAATGGTTATCTTCAAAGGCTAAGGCGAAGTCGTATACTTTCTAGCTTCCCTTTACAATATATCTTCACGTGGTTTGTTTCGAACATTTGGTGTTACACAAGAGCACCTCAGTGGCGATAATGTGACATTTACATGCAAGGCAATATATACGAGGTTGACCTACAAGACTGTCACGTGTACATCAACTGGTGCCTACTCCGCACCTCCGCCGTTCTGCGAAGAGCTAGATAAATCCAGTATGTGTAAAAAATAGCCATATATATAGCTATATAATAGCCGTGTTGATATTTTGACTTTTGTATGATATTTTGACTTTTGAGTTGTTCTGAATGCATTTATTCGAATTTTAGATGGTTCAGATTTGGCTCTTGTGTTGTCCTTGTCGCTAAGCGTCCCAATTGTTTTTGTTATGATGCTGGGTCTGGGTTATATTATCTTGCGTTATACGACTTTCCTTAGTGCAGAATATCATAGGAAATTATTCGGTCCGTCGAACAGGCAAGATCAAAGACAGACAGTCCATCTGCAAGAAAACGTAGCGCTAGGCAACGGCGCAGGACTTTCAAACGATAACAGTTCTCAAAAAATGGGCGCGAATGAAGTTGGAATATGCTAACGTGAAGTTGGCAATATTGCAGGCCAATATTGCACTGTTAATCTCGATTGAACGCTGGTTTCGTTTTTACTCGATGTAAATAGAACAAATAAAGGAATATTTACCACTCGAAAAACTAATTTAATACCATTTCTTGTGTCTACTACTCTGTCTACTCCATGCAGGAAGTTCAGGCGTATTCCACTAGCAGGAATTATATTCGCGTAATATTGCATAAATTAAATTAGTTCTTTGTGACTGCATCAAAATATGCTTTGGAAGAATTAGGTCTTAGATTCAGCACATTGGCTTATTGGCTGTATGTGCGCATACAAAATTTAACTAGTGAACTTTTTAACTCTAAAGAAGCGATATTACTCAGTAAATTTGGCATGTTGTAGAATGCGGACTGGACTGGTCAGGAAAAGTGCGGACTGTATAAACACATCGTTATTATGTAAACTGTAAAACTAGAGTTGAGAATTGTTCGGAAAATTTGAAGGATCGTGAGTATTAAATAAACCTTTTTTATTCAAATTTGTCATTGTCTCATTATCAATAAACTTTGGGAGTCTTGCCTTTTGGGAATTTTCTTCGAAAGGGAAAAGTAGTGGAGAGATTTAAGGAAAATATTATTATTCGTCCGTTATTTACAAGTCCGTCATTTGTGTCCGTGATTAACAAGTCAGCGCTTTTCCGATCCATCCAGTCCGCATACAAATTTCCGATGGATAAAACGAGCGTGTGCTGTCGATGCAACCTTTCCACAACAGGTGTACATATCAGCCTTGTACCCCGGCGCTTTAATAGTAAAAAAATAATGTTGCGCTCAGTTATTGTATAGAGGTCAGCTGAAAAAAATGCGAGCGCGCGGGGGTGCTTGGGTGGCTGGGTATATTTCAAATCAACCTTCTCGCAGGCCAGCCTCGTACCCAGGCGCTTTATTGGAAAACATAAAGGCTGCATTCGGCGTAATATAGAGATCTGTGGCTGAGATGTGCGAGCGCGCAGGGGTGCTTGGGGAGGACGCGACAAATGAAGCTTCGTTCTCCCGTCGCGTCCTCCCCAAGCACCCCTGCGCGCTCGCACATCTCAGCCACAGATCTCTATATTACGCTGAATGCAACCTTTATGTTTTCCAATAAAGCGCCTGGGTACGAGGCTGCTCGCAGGCTAAAATAGAGCTCCACTGGAATCTGGATTCCAAGAATCAAATTTTCGTGAACAAACTTTACCACAACTTTATACTTTAATTTTATAATGCGATCGTTTCGTTGAATTTATTTAGCCAAGGTGCAAGTGAAGCTGAAGCGAGAAAGGCAATGGCGAATGTTTCACCCGACAGTGGTTCTGTTGATGAAATCACAGATCTTCTCACTTGCTCATTGTGCTCAAATATTTTACATGATCCAAAAAGCTTGACTTGTCTTCATAATTTCTGTAAAGGATGCTTAGGTGCGTATATTATATTACTTTGAAATTATAGTTGTTGTATTACGACGCGTGGTTATAATGGTTATAAGCGGATACTCGCTCGAGATTTGTGTGTATAGCTTCGCCAACTTGTAGTAATTTAATCAGGGCAACGTGGTTTCGATTTCGTGGTGACGCTTCTGACAATTATACTGCCAAAAGATATATTTAAGAATTGCTTAATTATGTCACATGTCAGTTTTCATACACTACAAGGTAGCTTTGGGTGCAGTGTATTACAATGATGTAAATGAATTCACCCACTAGGGGCCTTATATATACATACTCCCCTGCAATAAAACTAATAGTAACATAATAAAAAAATATAATTGAAACCTAGCTTCTTTTCCTTCAAATTACAGCAGGTCAGTCAATCTGCTGTGTGGCAGTAGAGTAGTTGTCTGTCAAATATCACTGTGAACTAATATGTTTTGGTATATATACCCGTCTATTACAAATCCTACATTCTGATGGGCTACTGAACCATTGTCTATTTGTGATGGTGAACATTTAGGAAAAATTCGCTCGCGTGACCGTATAAAATTGAATTAATTAAATTATTTTTTGGTGTAATTGCAGTGTATCGATTATTTTCTCGAAATTAATATATCTAGGTACAGGGTGTATACTAAAACAATTAGACAACTCGCCTCTGTTGTCTATTAGTGAATAGTCAACTCAGGCTTCGCCTTTGTTGACTATTCCCTCATAGACAACTTGGACTCATTGTCTAATTGTTAAATACTAGCTAGTTGACTAAATTAAAGGTGAGTAAGGGCTGTTTACATGATCAAAGTGTGAGATATGACTTTGAGGTATTGAAAGAAGTCTTTATGACATCAAACAAGCACATGCTATTGTACATAGGGGTCATAAATTACACAAATAACATGATTGCCTGGATCGCAATGTTATATGCTCATATCGATACCTCAAAGACTTCATGTCGTGTGTTGTAATATTCATTTAGAAAAGTATGTTGAACGTCTTCATGGTGGTGACCAAAACATTGAGACATTTCCATGCCCTAAATGTCGCTTAGAGTTTACCTTTAAATCACATCAAGATTTGGCTGAAATGTCAAGTAATTGCTTCATCAAGAATTTGCTGGATATTTTGGAGATTCAACAGAGAGCCAAAAGTTCTACTGAATGTTTCCGCTGCAAAGATCCTGCCATCAAACACTGTTCATCATGTGAAATCTTCATGTGTGACAAATGTTCAGAATCGCATGACATATGGCCAGCTCATAAGAATCACAATGTTCTATCAGTACAACAACTAAGTGATCCTGAGAGTCAAATGAAAATGAGAAGGAAGCTTCACTGCATGAAACACAAGGACAAAGTGCTGGATTATTTCTGTGAAAGTTGCAAAGAACTTTGCTGTATTGACTGTGTTGTATTAAATCATCAGAAATCCAATCATTTGTGCATGGCTATGAGTGAAGTTGCACAGAAACAAAAAGAAACATTGCAATTAAGCTGCTCAACGCTTGATAAGAAATTATCGGAAGCAACTGAAGCTTTGACTAATATTGAAAGTGTAATGAAGTCTCTTGAAGAAAATGCCAAAACTGCAAAAGATCAGATCAAAGAACAGAAAGAAAAAGTTTTGAAGATTGGGAAAGTTGATGAGAGAACAAAGGAAATGAATGAAGAAGTGGACAAGGCTTATGATGAATTACACAGTGAACTAAACAAACAGCATGGTGAAATTAAAGATTATCGTGACAAACTAGAAGCTTCAAGGCTGTTGCCTAAAAGTCTCCTGAAGAGGGGAAGTATTGAAGAAATCCTTTCCTTGCAAAAACAGATTGATGAAAGTATTGAAAAGTTGCAGGAAGAAAAGCCAGAGGATCTAACAGCTGTCAATGATGGCAATATTCAGCATGTACCTGGTGATATTAATAATATCAATGTTGATGAAGTTGTTGATAAATTGGGACATATTGAAGGTATATTTTTCAACATAATTTGCCTAAGTAACATTTCGGCATTTTTAGAAAACTTCCTATCAAATGTGGTATAACAATAGACCAATTTAATAATTAAATCACAACATTATAGTTTTAAATTTAGGACCACCTTAAATTAGATCGATGGATTGCAGTTTTACTCTTATGAGCCAGGAGCAAAGATGCAAAGCATCTTTCTCAACACATGCATGAAATATAGATTTTAATTTTGGTAAAAAAAGATGTGGAAATAAGCTATAACATGATAATGATGCTCAGGGGCTAAGACCGAGAGCCTCGTTCTCATGTTATGGCTGATTGCCACACTTCAAAATGAAAAATTCTTTGCACATGGCTTGTGAGAGTAACTTTAAATCCATTGCATTTAAGGTGGTTCTGTAAATTAAAAGGACAACCTAATTATCGAAAAGGTCTATTACTTCCTTTAAGAGACCAAAAACCCTCTTGACTTGGCTTCAACCTTCATTAGTTCTTAGGCCTTTCGTTATAGTCAATATTTTTATTGTATGAAAGGGACTTGACCGGAGTGGCAATAACAGGCATTCATTCAATGATTCATGCTTATCTATATTGCACCCGGTTTTGCCAAAAAACAAACATACAGATACGTACCATTTCATAATTATAACTTTCAAATCCATAATAATTTACATTCCACAATTCCTATAAAGGAATCATATCAAATGTTACCAATCATCAACCCTGCCACATTGCCAATCATCTCATCTTCGAAAGGCACCCTTCAACACCCCTGCAATGAAGGCATAGCCATCTCTACAGGATCTGAATCCCTGCAGCCACATATAAAATAAGAATATTGACTAAAAACGTTGTATTCATAAGAAGTCTATTATCATATGATGACAAAAAAATTCACCAAATAAGGTCATGAGAAAACTTAAAATACTATACGGTATTATGCACAAGAAAATGCCGTATTACACCTTTTTAACAGTTTTTTCCCTTTTTTTGACTGATCTCCATGATTAATTTTTAGGACATGCATGTAGTGGACTTTTCAATTTAAGAAATTCGTCCAGTATTTTAAAAGGAGAAATTGCCTTCATTAAACAACTTCAGAAATGGTTGGGAAAGAAATGTAATTGGAATCTTTGTTACCGTGCTTCAAGAGATGGTTGGGGAGCCCAAGATTTTCACGCCAATTGTGACAATAAAGGACCGACCGTGGTTTTGGTGAAAGCCAATAATTGTATCTTTGGTGGATACACTGATCAAAACTGGCATTGCCAGGTTTATTGTTATGAGGAGGATGACTATTATGAGGAGGATGTCTATTATGAGGGGGATGACTATTATGAGGGGGATGTCTATTATGAGGAGGATGACTATTATGAGGAGGATGACTATTATGAGGAGGATGTCTATTATGAGGAGGATGACTATTATGAGGAGGATGACTATTATGAGGAGGATGACTATTATGAGGGGGATGACTATTATGAGGAGGATGACTATTATGAGGAGGAGTCTATTATGAGGGGGATGACTATTATGAGGGGGATGACTATTATGAGGAGGATGACTATTATGAGGGGATGACTATTATGAGGAGGATGACTATTATGAGGAGGATGACTATTATGAGGGGGATGACTATTATGAGGAGGATGACTATTATGAGGAGGATGACTATTATGAGGGGGATGACTATTATGAGGGGGATGACTATTATGAGGAGGATGACTATTATGAGGGGGATGACTATTATGAGGAGGACTATTATGAGGAGGATGACTATTATGAGGAGGATGACTATTATGAGGAGGATGACTATTATGAGGGGATGACTATTATGAGGAGGATGACTATTATGAGGAGGATGTCTATTATGAGGAGGATGACTATTATGAGGAGGATGACTATTATGAGGAGGATGACTATTATGAGGAGGATGACTATTATGAGGAGGATGACTATTATGAGAGGATGACTATTATGAGGAGGATGATATGAGGAGGATGAGATGACTATTATGAGGAGGATGACTATTATGAGGAGGATGACTATTATGAGGAGGATGACTATATGAGGGAGGATGACTATTATGAGGAGGATGACTATTATGAGGAGGATGACTATTATGAGGAGGATGACTATTATGAGGAGGATGACTATTATGAGGAGGATGACTATTATGAGGGATGACTATTATGAGGAGGATGACTATTATGAGGAGGATGACTATTATGAGGAGGATGACTATTATGAGGAGGATGACTATTATGAGGGGGATGACTATTATGAGGAGGATGACTATTATGAGGAGGATGACTATTATGAGGAGGATGACTATTAATGAGAGGATGACTATTATGAGGGGGATGTCTATTATGAGGGGGATGACTATTATGAGGGGGATGTCTATTATGAGGAGGATGACTATTATGAGGAGGATGACTATTATGAGGAGGATGACTATTATGAGGGGGATGACTATTATGAGGGGGATGACTATTATGAGGAGGATGTCTATTATGAGGGGGATGACTATTATGAGGAGGATGACTATTATGAGGGGGATGACTATTATGAGGAGGATGTCTATTATGAGGGGGATGACTATTATGAGGAGGATGACTATTATGAGGGGGATGTCTATTATATGAGGAGAATGACTATTATGAGGGGGATGACTATTATGGAGGTTATTATGATAGTAAAGTTAATTGCCTTTAATTGCCCAATTAAAACTCATTGAGTTACTGTTTATCAAATCATGGGTTGCTGTTTATCAATATCAAAGTTTCAGTTGAATAATAGTTTTTATTTTATGCTGTAGCCCCATCACCCATGGACTTAGAATCATCGTGACCATTCATTACCTACAGAGTAACGCAGACCATTACATTCAAATGATGAATTCGCCATGCAAAATTGCTACAAATAATAATTTTTAATGGTGTAGATTCCTCAATCCTTCTTTACTCCGGAAATTAATAAATTAACATAATATGTTCTCATTTTTCCAAGAAAATTACAGGTACTCGAACTGTTCATTTCTGTTCTCGCTACGAAACAAAGACAACCTTGGTCCATTTATTGCCAACATCAAACAAGGTCAGGAGCATAATGCAATTTACTCTTCCACTTCTTATGGGCCAGTCTTTGGTGGAGGTAATGATCTGATCATTTGTGCCAGTCCCAACGTTAATCAATCCTCCAGCAATTTTGGAAGCACCTATCAACTTCCTCCTGGTTATGCCTGTGGCAGTGAACAAGCAATGAAACTTCTTGCCGGTCAGTACCAATTCTTGACAACAGAAATTGAAGTCTTCTACTGACTGTTACCAAATGAACATACATCGATTGCCGTTAAAGTATCATGCATGAGTGAACCAGCTAACCAATATTATGGAATCTAGAAAGTTATTAAAAAAATATTTAACAAATAGATAACATTGATTATGATTTTTGGCACTTCACTCGATGTAGGTAAATTCTAGAGGTTGAAAGGGTCTTTATTTCGAGTGGAATTATAAGAATAAAACACAGTGGCCACGAGCCGCCGGGTCACATTTGTTCCTATCACAAATTACACGTCATCCGTGTATCTATAACTGAACAGACAACGGTTGAATGTTAACTATTTGTTTTATATAATAAAAAGGGAAAACATTCTGAAATTAAACAGGCAAATGATTTTCCAACACTTGAAAATTGTCAAAGAAGAAATTTTGCAGATATCACGCTTAACATTAGCGTGTTTAAAGGCCTGTTTACATGGAGCGAGTTATCCCGGCTATGGCGAGCTACAATCCTGGCCAAAACCATCGACTACACTCGGAATGATTTGTAGCTTTTTACGCAATACGTTATTATTTCTCTTACGTTTCCCCCCTCGCCCCCACTAATCAATGTTGAATCTATGCTAAATGCTTGAATGAGTTATGACACATCACTCAACATTGATTTGTGGGGGAAAGGGGGAGAATTTTGAAATAAATTCCGCGACTGCTGACTGTAGTGTCAATTAGCACAGAGTGTCGTCAATGTTTTGATCAGGATTGTAGGTGAAAACTGCATATAATGAAAGACTAATCAGGCAAGCCTTTGATCTGATGCGCTTTTTACCTCGCCTAGCTGGGATAACCCTACCTCCTCCGCAGCCATATTTGCCCGAAAAGGGCCTGCGGAGGAGGTTGGGGATAACCCACTCCATGTAAACAGGCCTTAATTAGATGCACGAAATCTACGACTTCGTGTTGGGAAACTGTGGAAATTAGAGCCGTTTTATTTCACGTCCGCGTCGTAGATTTGGTGAATCTCAAAAGGCTCGTGTGCTCGTTTGTGCTTCTGCGTTTAAACTTTTCCCTTTAATTCGCTGATTTGCACTCATCCGTCAGTCGGCCTTTGATTTCTGTTCCGTTTTATTTGTAGCACCTAGCGCTAAGTTCTTATGTCAATGACGGAAGTTCTTTTCTCACTCAGCGAGTACGTGCTACGTCATGATTTTACACTACAGCGGGTCAAATGTCAGCAAAGCAACAGAGTTTAGGAGTAAGTCAAGCAGGGCATCTTTAATCATATAGACTAGGGATCCAGGCCCCAATCATTGGTCCCCCAGTTAAGTATTACTCCCCTCAGTAAAAATCCCCTGTTTAAAGGAAACATTGATAAAAAATAAAGATTGCATTAGTCCCCTACAATGTATTAGCATTGGATTCTGTAAGCCAACCTTTGCTGAATGAAATTTCACTGAAATCATCTATCGAGCGTGAAAACATAATATTTTGCATATTATTTTTAAATCAACTGATATCAAAAAATTTCCAAGTACCCCCTTCGGCCAAGATCAACCTTTATACTTTGCTGTGCTAGAGAGAGGTCTTTTTTTTGCAATGCACCCTCCCCCATTCGAAATTTCTTAAAAGAGGTCCGTAAGTCTAGCAGCAAACTCCAGTGAGTCTCTGAGGAGTCAGTGAGTCTAGCAGCAAACTCCAGTGAGTCTCTGAAGAGTCAGTGAGTCTAGCAGCAAACTCCACGCTGTATTGAGATATTGAAAATAACAGTAGAAATGCTTCATATTAATCAGAGGCAAATAGCATTCATAACAACCTGCTTGATGTCAAATAGGCGCTCGTAATAAGACGCATGAAGTCATCTATTCAGACAGCATTTGTCATTGTTACCCGCTACAACCCGCTACATGCGTCATGTTTACCGGTTCCTTCAAACCATGACGTGTAAGGATCTTTATTTCGCGACTAGTAATTATGCATCATTGCATTATTTGAATAAAATCTCTCGAAAACCGAATGCGCTGAAGCAAAGGAAAGCGCCATGCTTTTTTTTTTTTTTGCGGTTAATTGACACAACGTCATTGTTTTCTATAACTGACGAAGTCTCCGACCTACTTTTAACGTATCCAAAAGAATGTGTGTCTTGCTGTCTTGCGCTAGATTTGTAGGATAAATGGCGGGGGTTTTGATTTACGTCAATTAGAAAATTATACGTACATCCTTTATGTTTATTGTTACATTGTTACCATGCTGTATAAGAAAGGCTTCCATGTTTGAAATAACATTTTCAAACACAGCTACAAACAAGTTTCATAAGTTCATATTCAAAGGAGTGGACGTCTGGTGGACTCGTCGAGCGATCTCGGCTGCGATCAGTGTAGACTGATTTTTTTGCATAATTGCATCATACATTTTCGGGGGGGAGTATGGAAGGATTGAAAGCAATGACTATGGTTTTTATGCGCGTTTTTGCGGCATTTTTATTCGCTGTCCAAGGTATTGTTCCATGACGTTCTTCTCTATCACGTTTGTTGATTTCTTACTGTAATTTTATAATCATATGAACCATATTGAAACTACAATGAATATTACATTTATTAATACTAAATTTCACATCAAATGTTAAAAATGTAAACACTTCAGTACATGTATTGACCTTGGAAGCACTCGCAGCACAAAGCAGTAGGTATATGTGTAGTGGTTGTGATGTTTAAAACCTTGAAAATCGCTGTAGCTATTAGAGTAAGCTGGGCAAGGACAAGTGGAAACATTCTAGACTATTAAACCTGACCTTAGACCTAATCTATATTAGGCCTAATCAAGACCAAGGCTTGAGTGTTTAGCTAATATGTAGACATATACCAAAGTATGATGACATACAATTTTTGACGTACAAAGAAAGTATGATGGGTTTAACAACATGGTTTAACAATGCATTTTTTATGATTTAGCTGGAGCAAAGCCAGTTTCTCTTGATGCATTTTTCTTTGAACAAATACAAGATGATAAAAATGTTACTGGTCCTTCCAAAATTTACACCATTGAGGTATTTAAAAAGTCCTGCAATTGTAATCTGCGCTCCCGCTATTTAATTTCCCTTAATATACCAGTGTTGCCAAAAAATCAGTCTGGCAATTTAGGCATTGCTATCACTGAAAACTGGTATATATTTTGCTCATCTGCTCCAGACCAGCTTATTCCTTAGTCATTTGGATGCCTATGTGCATATCAGATTTAAACCTTCACTCAGTCTATCTAATTAAGCCTATCATACATGATCTTGCCAATTATTTAAACCATATCCACTATCCCAATTAATGCTCACCTCAATTAATCCTCATAACCATGAGTCATCAAAATAGAAACTCTCTGTTGATGATGTCATGTTATATATGCAGTGTATATACTGAAGAACTTTGTGACCAGTAATGATGACCCTAACATTAGTTAATTATGTGTAGTGAGTGACATACATCCAATACAGGGAATTACAAAGCTTTTCTCTACCAATAATATAGGCAGTACAACCTAGAAAATATCACAAGAAGCCAAGATTCTTTTTTCCTACCTGTAAATAACCTATTCTGTTACTTCATCTTGCAGACTAGTAATTTAACAAATACAACAAGAAGTGATAATGTACTTCAGCTCTCGTTTTTACAACATAATTTGTTACCTGGAGACAAGGTGACCTTCTATGATGGCAACTTTACCAGTATCCTGCAAGAGTACACATCATCAACAGAAACTCCTACACTATCATTCTTTACAACATCACCTGATGCACAAGTTGTGTTTACTGCAAACAAATCTGATGTCACAACAAGCAGAAGTTTTATTTTTCTCTACCGAACTATCCCTAAAGGTATATATAAATATTGTTAATGATTTAAACATTCTCTCCTAGAGGTGCAATGAAATTACTTTCACTAATATAAGGGCTGCAGGTATTGTATGTGATTTAATATCCTCTCTGTCAACAGTTTTTTATGTGATCAATTCTATGTATTATTATCATATTCTTCTTTGCAGGGTATAATAAAATTTTGTGACAACTGTATATACTGAAAATAACCTAGCTAGCTAGCATAATAAAGCTGTCCCTTTAGTTACAGTATATACTGCACATGCATATGTGATTATTAGATATCGAAATACATTTCTATCACCCTTTAGATGTTGATAGAGAATGTAATCAACTGTTTTATGGAAGATGGGGAAGTATAGACTCTAGTGATGTAATTATAATCTAATAAAGTTTTAAAGCTTCTAAGAACACCAAGACATTTGGTATTCTCTATTCTATCTCAGTGCCAAGTAGATTAGGTTAATAGCACATTCGAAAAAGTTGATAAGTCAATTCAATACATGATCAACATTGACTTATCATTAAATGGTTTTAATGAACAAAGCAATTTGACTTTATAGGATTGAAATTTTTGGGCTCCACTGCCCAAAGTGAAATCAATTTGGAGAGCCTTTTCCTTAAAACCACAGTAGTTGTATCTTGCATCTTATCAACCTTATCATTAATCTGCATGATCTGGCCAATAATATTGCAAAAGGTCTATTATTAGTACCCTTGTTTTAATTTTTAATTAATTAAGGAACATTCGATTCGTTTTAGCATGACCGACGTTCGAAGCACTGTAGGTATACAGTAACGCTTCCGACGTTGGGTGGAGGTACAGTCTCAATTCTCTTTGACAATCTGACGATACCAGTAGGCGAGAAACTAACAATTTGGAAGGTCGCCGGTACAAAGAATTACTCTCGATATTTTGAACCACACGGCAGCCCTCTAAAGGTGTTCACTTATGCGGATAGCGGCAGATTTCACTACATCGCGCCTGGAGTTTTGAGGACCCTCGTTTTGGATTTTAATTCAACAACCCAGTTTAAAATCCGTTTCTACAAGTATAGCTATCAAAATGGTAATGATTTTTTTAGAATTTTATGTTCTCATCTAGTTGGGCTGTAGGGCTAAATCGAAATATTGTGTATCACAAGTCACTATTTTTAACGACAGTTAACAGACCGTTTTTTTAAATTCAACTAAATTTTTTGAACTGTGAAAATTCATTAGTAATACAGTATGAAGTTTGGCTGTGAAAGATTGTGAAATGTAATGAATATTGCTGATGGCCCAAGCGAACATACTACGTTCTTAGTAATGCTTATTTTGAATAAATCTTTAATTTCAATTACTATCCGGACTTCTGGTTTTTTAACTAGTTATCAACGAAATCGGCGAATCAGGAGAGATAAGCATTCCTATAACTCCATATCCAAACGATCTTTCCTTGATATACCGAATTACTGTACCAAGAGGATATGCAAAAATCACAGTCCATGGTAAGCTTCGTTTGATTGCTATGTGCCCTGGATAAATTAGTGAGAACCTGCAACAGCCCCCCCCCGTTATCGGGGGGGGAAGTTACTTACTTTCGCATTCTTATCTGTAATGTTTTGCTGTTTTTCGCAATAGTTCTTGCACTTCACCCGCCTCCGCCCTCCGGGTATTTCCCCCGCGTTCCAGACCTCCCCACCGACCATAAATTATTAACCCAACAATTGGTACAATACGTAACTACCTTCGTGCTGTAACGGTCGGAGGAATTAAGAATAACGTCAAGTGTATATCAATGTACTATTTCAGACCTATATTTGCCTAAGTATGATAGACTCGACGTAGCCAGATTCAATGGAAAGTCATGGGACTTCGTAAGAAGCTTCAAAAACGACAGTGACCTAAGTACAAACACTGTAGTGTCAGACAGCAGTTCAATCGAAGTAATCTACAACAAGCTTAGCGGAAATTCAGCCAGCAGATATAGGATCACGTATTCGATGATAGAAACTAGTAAGTTTGCATGTACGCATTTGCAGTACAATATATGAATACCTTTTAAAAGTATGCCAATAATACAATATGTAACTGTTTATATTTAGTTATGGGTATGCATTTATTATTAGTATATTCACGATTTTCGATCATACCACAAGCTTTTCTATTACCCTTCCAGCGCTTAAGACGTGCAAAACGTTCCAACACATGAAAAAATCGCAGTTCACAAAATTTACAGAACTTTATGAAGGTATGTTGTAGCTAGCTTACAGTAATTCATATGTATTAACTGTCTTTTTACCAAAATTGATAGACAGCAAATAGAGGTTACTATTCGTTTTCAGATAACCAGAACGAGTTGTGTAATTATTTTAGTATAATCTACTGGTAGTACAAAGGAATATTTGAAAAGAAACAAACAAATGAAATCTTAACAGTACCTGCACGTATTCCTTGGCACTTTGCTTCTTGCGTTTTCAAAACGCGTTCACAATCGAAATTTATGCAAAAATATTCAAATAACTCTTCGTCAAAATCTTTTTCACCTTTAGTCCGCTCTATCTTAGAATGTAACGGATGACAGTTCATATGTTTATGGTTAAAGGCTTTACTGTAGGCTACCTTTTACAGCTTTTCAGATTAGAAACGAAGTTCGCCATTTTAAGAAATATTTTCGCGCCAGCTAGTGGTTGATATTTAAAAAACATAAATCAAAAGGCTAAATCCGAGAATGGAATGGGTAGACTGACTGCATTGCGCAAAGTCCTTAATTTGAAGTTTATTTTCATCATGAAACTTCTCAAGGTTGGGAAGAGTCCTTCACTTGCGCTGATGGCTTTGGCAACAAAAGAGTTCTTAGCCATGATGTCACCATATTATGCAAGGCCCATGGCGAATGGAAATATGGGAAAAAAACCGAAGAGTGTCGCAAATTATGCCCTCCGTTAGGTAGGACAACTTAATTCTTTTCTTAGCCCTGTTGAACTATTTAGACGGGGGAGTGTTTCTATACTTTCGATCAGCATGACAACTTTCATACTATTTTCAGTCATAATTTATTAATTTTATGATAGTATAGCATTAGAATTGCTTTTTGACTAGAGAAAACTGTTCTCATTTGCAAGAAAACAAACGTATCTCTTCTTCCCCGTCACCCCCCCCCCGGAATGGTTATCTTCAAAGGCTAAGGCGAAGTCGTATACTTTCTAGCTTCCCTTTACAATATATCTTCGCGTGGTTTGTTTCGAACATTTGGTGTTACACAAGAGCACCTCAGCGGTGATAATGTGACATTTACATGCAAGGCAATATATACGAGGTTGACCTACAAGACTGTCACGTGTACATCAACTGGTGCGTACTCCGCACCTCCGCCGTTCTGCAAAGAACTAGACAAATCCAGTATGTATCAAAATAGCCATATATAGCTATATAATAGCCGTGTTGATATTTTGACTTTTGTATGATATTTTGACTTTTGAGTTGTTCTGAATGCATTTCTTTGAATTTTAGATGGTTCAGATTTGGCTCTTGTGTTGTCCTTGTCGCTAAGCGTCCCACTTGTTTTTGTGATGATGCTTGGTCTGGGTTATATTATCTTGCGTTATACGACTTTCCTGAGTGCAGAATATCATAGAAAATTATTCGGTCCGTCGAACAGGCAAGAACAAAGACAGACAGTCTATCTGCAAGAAAACGTAGCGCTGGGCAATGGCGCAGGACTTTCAAACGATAACAGTCCTCAAAAAATGGCCGCGAATGAAGTTGGAATATGCTAACGTGAAGTTGTGGCAATGTTGCAGGCCAATATTGCAATGTTAATCTCGATTGAACGCTGGTTTCGTTTTTACTCGATGTAAATGAAACAAATAAAGGAATATTTACCACTCGAAAAACTAATTTAATACCATTTCTTGTGTTTACTACTCTGTCTTCTCCATGTAGGAAGTTCAGGCGTATTCCACTAACAGGAATTATATTCGCATAATGTTGCAGAAATTAAATTAGTTTTGTGTGACTGCATCAAAATATGCTTTGGAAGAGTTAGGTCTTAGACTCAGCACATTGGCTGTATGAACGCAGACAAAATTTAACAAGACGCCTGTTCTGCCGTTAACTCCGGCGCACGTGCCAGTCTTTAATATAGAGCTTCTGGGGCCGGTTGTTCGAAAGGCGTTTAGCTTAAACGGTGGATAAGTCAAAAATAGAAAATCAAATGATCTATTTATTCAACAACTGAGCTGAAATATTTCGATGTAAATAGTTTAATTGTCAATGGAAGTACATATTAAATACATAAAATGCAGCTTCAGTCATTCACAAGATGTATGAGAGTATTTTTAAACTTTGGCTTATCCACCGTTTAAGCTAAACGCCTTTCGAACAACCGGCCCCTGAACATAAACAATACAGTTCATATTCGCATTTAGATGCCTTGAACCTAAATGTTCGATCGCGAAATTCAGAAGCACATCGTACTTTAAAAAGTATAGTAGTTCAATTGTTCAAAAATGTAAATAAACCGCATGATACATTCGCTTTGTCTTACACTTTGCCTTTGGAATTCGCGCTTATATATTAAATCTTCAAACTACTCCTGTGCAAATTAACTACGACGAGTCAACGCGCCAATACACGACCACATCATCTTGTTAAACGGCGAAATAGCAGCGATATTATTAAAATAGGACCAGAATGTACATGTATTGAATATATTCTTACCCCAATTCAATCTAAACTTAATCGAACAGCATGAAAAGAACGGTTTATTTGTTCCTCTTGGAGGAATTGCCGTATCATGCGAGCGAAATCGAATCGCGCATCGGAAAATTAAGCCAAAGCTGTGCACCACAACTCTTGGGAGATAAGACTGAGACCTAGATAAATACGGTCACATATACGTTGTAAATTCTAGAATTTTTCGCGCCATTTCAGACTTGCGACGACGAAAAGTAAAAAAAAAACGACAAAACAAAACCGAGGCGAATTTTCAATTCCGTCGCTGGCGCCGGAGTAACTAGTGAACTTTTTAAAACAAAAAGAGAGAGATGAGGAAGTTTCAAATTCCACATTTAAGAACGATTTAATTATTTGTAATTCATGTAAATTTTTAACTCTAAAGAAGCGATATTACTCAGTAAATTTGGCATGTTGTAGAATGCGGACTGGACTGGTCAGGAAAAGTGTGGCTAGTAAATAACGGACTTGTAAATAACGGACTCAGTCCGTGATATAAAACGCGGACTTGTATAAACGCATCGTTATTATGTAACGCACACAAATTTGTGTTCCGGTGGATAGAGCGAGCGTGTGCTGTCGATGCAACCTTTCCACAACAGGTGTATATATCAGCCTTGTACCCCGGCGCTTTAATAGTAAAAAAATAATGTTGCGTTCAGTTATTGTATAGAGGTCAACTAGAAAGAATGCGAGCGCGCGGGGGTGCTTGGGTGCCTTGGGTGGCTGTGAATATTTCCAGGCTGGAATATTTCAATTTTCAAATCAACCTTATCGCAGGCTAAAATAGAGCTCCACTCAGTCCACTGGAATCTGGATTCCAAGAATCAAATTTCCGTGAACAAAGTGAACCACAGCTTAATACTTTAATTTTATAATGCGATCGTTTCGTTGAATTTACTAAGCCAAGGTGCAAGTGAAGCTGAAGCGAGAAAAGCAATGGCGAATGTTTCACCTGACAGTGGTTCTGTTGATGAAATCAAAGATCTTCTCACTTGCTCATTGTGCTCAAATATTTTACATGATCCAAAAAGCTTGACTTGTCTTCATAATTTCTGTAAAGGATGCTTAGGTGCGTATATGATATTACTTTGAAATTATAGTTGTTGTATTACGACGCGTGGTTATAATGGTTATAAGTGGTACTCGCTCGAAATTTGTGTGTATAGCACTATAGCTTCGCCAACTTTAGTAATTTAATCAGGGCAGCGTGGTTTCGATTTCGTGGTGACGCTTCGATTTAAGAATTGCTTAATTATGTCACATGTCAGTTTTCATACACTACAGTACAAGGTAGCTTTGAGTGCAGTGTATTACAATGATATAAATAAATTCACCCACTAGGGGGCTTATATATACATACTCCCCTGCAATAAAACTAATAGTAACATAATAAAAAAATATAATTGAACCCAGCTCCTTTTGCTTCAAATCACAGTAGGTCAGTCAATCTGCTGTCTGGCAGTAGAGTAGTTGTCTGTCAAATATCACTGTGAACTAATATGTTTTGGTATGTACCGACTATTGTCTATTACAAATCCTACATTCTGATTGGCTACTGAACCATTGTCTATTCGTGATGGTGAACATTTGGGAAAAATTCGCTCGCGCTACCGTATAAGATTGAATTAATTAAATTATTTTTCGGTGTAATTGCAGTGTATCGATTATTTTCTCGAAATTAATATATCTTGCCTTTGTTGTCTATAAGCGAATAGTCAACTCAGGCTTCGCCTTTGTTGACTATTCCCTCATAGACAACTTGGACTCATTGTCTAATTGTTAAATACTAGCTAGTTGACTAAATTAAAGGTGAGTAAGGGCTGTTTACATGATCAAAGTGTGAGATATGACTTTGAGGTATTGAAAGAAGTCTTTATGACATCAAACAAGCACATGCTATTGTACATAGGGGTCATAAATTACACAAATAACATGATTGCCTGGATCGCAATGTTATATGCTCATATCAATACCTCAAAGACTTCATGTCGTGTGTTGTAATATTCATTTAGGAAAGTATGTTGAACGTCTTCGTGGTGGTGACCAAAACATTGAGACATTTCCATGCCCTAAATGTCGCTTAGAGTTTACCTTTAAATCACATCAAGATTTGGCTGAAATGACAAGTAATTGTTTCATCAAGAATTTGCTGGATATTTTGGAGATTCAACAGAGAGCCAAAAGTTCTACTGAATGTTTTCGCTGCAAAGATCCTGCCATCAAACACTGTTCATCATGCGAAATCTTCATGTGTGACAAATGTTCAGAATGGCATGACATATGGCCAGCTCATAAACACCACAATGTATTATCTGTGAAAGAACTAAGTTGCCCTAAAAGTCAAATAAAAATGAGAAGGAAGCCTCACTGCATAAAACATAAAGATAAAGTGCTGGATTATTTCTGTGAAAGTTGCAAGGAACTTTGCTGTATTGATTGTGTTGTATTAAATCATCAGAAATCCAATCATTTGTGCGTGGCTATGAGTGAAGTTGCGCAGAAACAAAAAGAAACATTGCAATCAAGCTGCTCGACGCTTGATAAGAAATTATCGGAAGCAACCGAAGCTTTGACTAATATTGAAAGTGTAATGAAGTCTCTTGAAGAAAATGCTAAAACTGCAAAAGATAAGATCAAAGAACAAAAGGAAAAAGTTTTGAAGATTGTGATCGAAAAAGTTGATGAGAGAACAAAGGAAATAAACGAAGAAGTGGACAAGGCTTATGATAAATTACAGAGTGAACTAAACAAACAACATGATGAAATTAAAGATTATCGTGACAAACTACAAGCTTCAGTGCCCTTGCCTAAAAGTCTCCTGAAGAGGGGAAGTATTGAAGAAATTCTTTCCTTGCAAAAACAGATTGATGAAAGTATTGAAATGTTGCAAAATGAAAAGCCAGAGGATCTAACAGCAGTCAATGATGGCAATATTCAGCATGTACCTGATGATATTAATAATATCAATGTTGATGAAGTTGTTGATAAATTGGGATATATTGAAGGTATTTTTCAAAATAATTAGCCAAGTTAGCATTTCAGCATCTTTAACTTCCTATCAAGTGTGGTATAACAATAGATCGACCTATTCAATAATCACATCACAACATTATAGTTTTAAATTTAGGACCACCTTAAATCTATAGGATGGATTGCAAGTTTTACTCTTATGAGCCACCAACAAAGATGCAAAACATTCCTTCAATACATGCATGAATAGAATTTTTTAATTTTGACAAAAAAAATGTGGAAATGTTCTAAATTTGAAATGATAATGTTGTGAAAAAATTATTGAAAAGGTCGTTTACTGCCTTTAATAGACCAAGAACCCTCTCGACTTGGCTTCAACCTTCATAAGTCGTTTGTTAGGACTTTTGTCATTAACTTTTGTGGAAAGGCACTTAGGTGAAACTCCAAGACTTTTTCTATCTGCCTTAGGCAGACTTTTTGCTATCTGGCTTAGGCAGACTTTTTTCTATCTGGCTTAGGCAGACTTTTTTCTATCTGGCGTAGGCAGTTGTTTTAGCTACCACATTTCTTAAGAAGTTTATTATTATATGATGACGACAAATTTCACCAAATAAGGTCATGAGAAAACGTACTATACGGTATTATGCACGGGAAAAGGCCGTATTACACCTTGTTACATGATTATTTTTTAGGACATGGTGGACATTTCAATTTAAGAAATTCGTCCAGTATTTTGAAAGGAGAGATTGCCTTCATTAAACAACTTCAGAAATGGTTGGGAAAGAAATGTAAATGGAATCTTTGTTACCGTGCTTCAAGAGATGGTTGGGGAACCCGCGATTTTCACAGCCATTGTGACAATAAAGGACCGACAGTGGTTTTGGTGAAGGCCAATAATTGTATCTTTGGTGGATACGCTGACGTAGGCTGGCAAGGTATGTAAGATAAGAATTACGGCGCAGCTACGAGGGATCATGATCCAAAAAATCCTTACGCTTTACGGACTTTTTCATGTTCTTCATTTTATGGAAAAAACTTAATTAATCTTCAAAAATGTTTACCTGTTACGGAATTCTTCTTGATTCGTCTGAATAATAATTTGATGTTATTTCGGTAAAAAATCCTGACTTTATTTCGTTTGAGGACTGTTCTTGTATGACTTTTATTTCATTTTTAATTAAGGTAATGTTGGGTGGACAAATTCCAAATCTTCATTTATTTTTTCACTACGAAACAAAGACAACCTTGCTCCTTTTATTACTAACATCAAGCAAAGCAGGAAAGGATATGCAATGTACTGTAAGTCTAGTTATGGACCAACCTTTGGCGGAGGTCATGATTTTTACATTGGGGACAATCCTCGAGCTAATAAGTCATCATACTGCGATTTTGGAAACACGTATCATCTTCCTCCTGGTTATATATATGGCAGTGAACAAGCAAAGAACCTTCTTGCTGGTCAGTACCAATTTTTAACCACAGAAATAGAAGTCTTTAACTGAGAACTGTCATATATACTAGTGGCAGCCGGCCCTGACCATGCAGTCAATCATTAGCATTGCAAAGATCTGCATACAAATTTAATAGTACCGGTACCATGCGTCCTATGTTATTCAGGTTGATTTAGGCTGCGTTCAGACTAAGAGTTCAGAGAGTGCCCGGCACTGCTGCCCAAAATCAAAAATGCTTCATAAAACATGCTGAGCACAGTGCCCTTGTTAAGCGCTACCTGTGAAGGATGTGCCCGTTCTTGAGAACCGTGCCCAATTTTATTTAGAAGCGTCAATGCGTCATGTTCAACTTAAGCGCCAGGGGCCGGTTGTATAAAACTCTTAACTACGTTTTAACTACTTTTTAACCACCCAACTGTAGTTAAAATGTAGTTAACTTTAATCACATAGTTAAGCCAGTTGTATAAAAACGTAGTTAGCGTTAACTGTAGTTAAAATCTAGTTAAAGTTAACTATCCTCAAGGGCATCGTTAACTTTTCAAAACATAGTTGAAAATGGCGTCTTGAGCTTTTGAGGAGTGAGAAAATATTAAAATCAACACATACCAAGGTTGTCAACCGTTATCCACTTAGAAAGGGCCCCGTCGAAGCTTGTAAGCTTTCAATATGCTTTTATTTTTTTCATTTGGGCAGCAACGGAGAATAATTCTGCATCGGGAAACGTGTCGATGCCAAGTTGCGATCCTAGCCAAGATTAGCTATCTCCATTTTCAATTGCAACCGGTATTTTGACTCAAAGGGACCTTTTTATATTAAGAGCCCCTTTTTCGTTTAATTATTTTGAAATTTTTCCTTGTTTTATTGCACTTTTTCCAATATTTTAGATCAAAATACTGTCATTTTTTGTAAATACGAGTTCACAGTCTTGTTCAAAATCAATAATAGCGGTCAATAATTTGGAGATACTTCATGCTATTTCTCTTTTTAACAACCCCACGCAAGCTCCACGCAAGTTAACTACGTGATTAGTTAATCATCCGACTAACTAATGCAACGCAGTTAAGTCGTGTAGTTAACTAATCATAGTTAAGGATTTAACTACAGTGATTAGCACTAATCATAGTTAAAGTTAACTACGTTTTTATACAACCGGCCCCAGAAAGAGTGACGGGCACCACTCACCAGTGCCGGAAACTCAGTCTGAACGCAGCGTTATTCATCAGGGGCCGGTTGTTCAAAAGCAGGTTAAATTTAACCCTGGATTAGTGCTAAACCTGGGGCCGGTTGTTCAAAAGCAGGTTAAATTTAACCCTGGATTAGTGCTAAACCTGGGTTAAAATCCTTAACCCTAGGTTAGCTAAACCTGGGTTAAAACTGTGTTGTTCAAAGCAGGGTTAGTGGTAGGGCTAGTTAACCCAGGGTTAAAATATTTAACCAAAGATTAAATGTATTTTAAGGACTAAATTGGATATAAGAACGTTTTTGATTGGTCAATAAACGAGCGTCAAAACTTTACCCGACGAGGATATATTGTCAGTCGAAAGATTATATGCCGTGAGGGCAGGGTCGCAGGGACGTTGTTTTGAACAGCAATTTCCGTGCATTGAATTTTGGAAAGATTCGAAATGAAAGACCATTCTGTATGTTGATGTGAAACAAAATTAAGCAAATTATAAACAATCTATTATAAAAATTTCAGGCATTCTTTGAATATTCAAAATTCAGGAACAAACGTAGCCTTACCACTTGCTGCCAATCAAAAGAATCGAATTTTGGCATCCGAAACAAATATTTCGATTACGATGTTTCAATTTGTACGGTTGTATTCATTTATCATGTATTGCATTGAAGCGAAGATAAATAAATCAATACATCAGCTGGAACCGAACGAAGTCAAACTTAAATAATTCTTTGCTGTCGAAATGTTTCGTAAAACCTTTCAAAAGTGTTTAATTCATGACGAATTATACGTGTTTACGTGTTTCAGCTGCTTATTCATCCATTTTGTTAACCCAGGATTAAAAAGTTAACCCACCTAGCTAGCAGGGTTGATTTTTTTATTAATTTTAACCCAGGGTTAACGCTAACCGAGCTTTGTGCAACGCAAATCAACCAAGGTTTAAAATTTAATCCTGGGTTAGGCATTTTTAACCCTGGGTTAGCGTTAACCGGCTTTTGAACAACCGGCCACAGAAGTGAACAGCTATAAATGATCGAATTTAAGGCGGGCAGACAAAAACTGTTAAAGTTTTATTATGATGTTGAAACAACAAAAGACCCGTGTGCTCGTTTGTGCAGCTGCGTTTAAACTCTTCCCTTGGCTTTTTACTTTAACTGTACCATTATAATTTCTGTCAGTCGGCCTTTGGATTCCTGTTCCGTTTTTTGGAACATCTAGTGTTAAGCTCTTGTGTCAATAACCTTCTGAAGTGCTTACGTCACACAGTTTTCTATCTATACAATTTTGTCCCACTTGTTTCCCAGATTGCATTGCGATTCATTGTTCGAGACCGACATGACGTAAGCACCTCAAAGGTCTATTACGGAAGTTCTTTTCTCACTCGGCGACTACGTGCTACGTCATCATTTTAAACTACAGCGAGTCAAATGTCAGTAAAGCAACAGAGTTCAGGAGGGCCTCTCTTAACATATAGATCCCCCATTCCCCGTGTTGACCCCCCTATAGTTAAGTATTCCCCCCCCCAGTAAAAATCCCCAGTTAAAAAAAAAATTATAAAAAAGATTGCTTTAGTGCCCAACAATATTTGGATTCTATAAGCCAACCTTTGCTGAATGTAAAGGAATGCTGTCGAGCGCAAAAAATATTTTGCATTTTATTTAAATTCAGGCAACTGATTTGAAAAAAATTCCAAGTACCCCATTCGGCCACGATCAACATTTATACTTATAGCTGCGCCTTTTTTCAATTTACGTCAATTCGGAAATTATACGTACATCCCCTATTAATACATTGTTACAATGGCTTCTATGGTTGAAATAACAATTTCATTAGTTAGTATTCAACTGTAAAATTTGCTTCCCATTTTGCAAGTAGTCGACAAGTGATCTCGGCCGCGGTGTAGTCTGATTTTTTCTTCATACTCATACATGTTTTGGGGCAGTATATATGGAAGGATTGAAAGCAATCACTATGGGTTTTATGTGCGTTTTTGCGGCATTTTTATTCGCTGTCGAAGGTACCTCTGTATACAGTTAATTATTATCATTATTACTTTTCTTCAACATCATAATCCAATCCCCTCATTGTATTGCATCATATAGTATTATATTGTATTGCGTTGTTACAGTATTGTATTGTTTGGCATAGTATGGAATGGTATCGTTCAGTATTGTATTGTATTGTGTTGTATATATGTGTTGCTGTAAATAATGCATGTTTCCTTCTGAAATCATGTAACATATAGATGCAGGACCCCACTGAAAAACACTTCGGTGACGTGGGTATCCTGGTTAAAGATGAAGTTAATAATAATAATAATTAATAAAACGTATTAAAGAAGGCCAGTTAATAAATTTATCTTAAAAACTGGACTTCTCTTATCAAAGCTTATGTATCTTCACGATCCAATTTTCGCATCAATGAAAAGTTGCCAAAAATATTGCAGCACATACTACTACTCTACTCACTGAGACTGCTACATAAATGCATTAGACGTTTAGACCGCTTAACTAGCAATAAAGTTGAATATGCATGATATTGAGTCACTTGATCGTCACGTGGTCAGACACTTCATAATTCGTTCTGTTCAGGAAGTGCAAGGCTATAATTATAATATGATCGCTTTCAACATTACATCAAAGGGCGGTTAGTCTGGTTATCCCGATTGTTTTTATCGACTGAACTTCGAGAGCATTTCGTATTAAAAGGGTATTACAATACGAGACGAGCTGGCTTGTTGACTTGGCTGCCTTTCAGACGCAGACACGCGTGAGAAGATGATAGCCACTTGTGGTTAGGTGCGAACATTCTTTTGTGATTGGCGAAAGACTACGTGAATAAAACGATTCAAATTGGCTCACGTAAAAAGCCCCTGTAGCTCTTGGTATTACTGGTTGCACAAATCAGATCTTTTCATAGGAAAATCCGATGGGTATGTCAATAAAAATAACAGGACTTGAAACTTGAGCCTCTTACATGCCAACCTTCTGTCATTTTCATAGCAAGTGATTTGCCTTTTCAAACCGTCGAGTGACTGACAATATTTATATTATATTCGAAGAAAGTAAAAAGAAAGGCTTTTTCGACGGTCAAACGAACTCAAGGAGATCGAGGTACTAATGAATAGTTATATATGTATCATAAACACTTTGTTTCTTTATCGCTTTTATGCTTTTGACAGCAGTGCATAAGTATAATGACATATCATTTGATTTGGAATGCAAACATATATTTGGAAGATTCATGGTACAGGTAACGCCAAACCGAATTTTGGCGCGAATAGAGTGGTATTGTTATTCAATTAATCTGTTCATTCATATGTTTTAAATAACACAACACTAATGTTTCCTCGCCTGTTGTTTGAAGAATCTATTTACATATATACATGAGCATTGTCTTACATCCGAAGCACGGTAAAGAACCGTCCGGTAAGCACGTCTAGAAGTGGCGAACTCAGATCACAATATATAGAAATATACATATGCGCTGGGTATCGGTGATCGAATAAAACTCTACTCTACCCGGTTGTCACGAGAAAGTCGAACCAAAGGTAAACAGCATTTAGTTTTCAAAGTGCTTTTTAAGATTAACGTGATGAATGATAATCTCATGCTGATAATCTCAGATGTCAATGTCAATGACTCACCCTGCAGCTATAGAAGCGCGCTTGCGATAATCCAGTTTGTCATTAGGATCTTAGAATCGACTAGTTTGTAGATTTCATAGCCACTCAAATTATAAGCGAGGAATCCTGTAGCTACAACATATATGGCAGTATGGCTACAAGTTATACGACAACTACCGGAAATGTTGGCATTATCGACAAAGCGCTCTTGTTTCCGATTTGTAACATAATTGAACTTTAATTATACTATTGTGATTATTGTATCGTCGTTTACTTTCTATGCTGCTATGCATGGTTTTAATATCAGTAAGAGTTACTAGAATTTTAAACGGGTGAAACGCTTCCTCAAGTCAACGAAAACGAACCATTTAAGTGTGTCAAAATTCCTGTAGCAGTATTACAGTGTGCTATTACATAGACTAAGTGGAAATCGAGAATGTTTTCTAGACGAAAAAATTTGTTTTACGTTTAAATATCACGCGACTGCTTTTGCAAATGTCAAATATTTTCGCAACCGCTCGGAATATTGAAAGCGAGCGCTGAAATTTTGTACCGGGATGACTGAAGTCATATATCGTACAATGATTATAGTGTTGACAACGTCAACGTCGTGTTAACTGAGTCTGAAGTCGAAATCTGCATTAGCTTGACTTCACAGCCGATAGGAAATGAACAGCAAGGATTCCGAACTGTTTCAGTGAATGAATAAAACGCCTTTTCTCGATACGATGCGATAATTACAAATACCAAAACAGTACTCAATGCATTTTTAAACACCGCCCTCGAACAGAATATTTTTGTTTTGTTTGCACGTGTTATTTAATTAGATACTCAAATAAGGGCACATCAAGTTTTTGGTATGAAAGGCATGTTTACCAAAACAGGGGCACATTTTCACAAGGTCCAGTATACCATATTCCGGCATATTTGACCCAACCAAGTTCGATCGAATGAATAATATATATAGTCCGATATATTCAAACATACCAATGTCGAGTATGCCAGATTCGACCCTATCAAGGTCCATCGAATGACCCGAGGTCGAATGATTCCGTATTCCGGTATATACGACCATGGTGGAATACCATATTCCAGTTTATGATATGTGTATACTGTATAGAGATTTATACTTATGAAATAAAAATCGTTCTTCATTGGTTAAATTAACTTCGTGCAATTGGATGTTAATTCTGTCGTCTAAATTTACCAAAGCTTTGTTCACAGGGAAACTACGTGTAAATCTCGGAAACACTGCTAGCGTGAATCTGTTTTTTGCCACCAAGGCCTGTTTATTTGTAGATTATTATTTGCTCGTCACCTCTTTGTAATATTGATTATTTCTGTTTTAGTTTCACTGGAACAAACATTCCCTAAATGGCGGATGTGTTTTCCGGAGATGCTCTACGAGCAAGTGCTTCATTTACGGCTGGTGGGAAATTCGTGATAGCCATTAGCACAGATAACGTAGAAGTGGCAAAAGAAGTGTGTAAAACTGTAACTAAACTTGGTTTGGGTCTTGGCGCTCTGTATGCTGGTTATAGTTTATTGAAACCAGTAATTGAGGGTGCGGTTGCAAAAGCTTTGGGAGGCAAACGTGATGATCAGGACCCTCGTGACATTCGACCAGGATGTTTGCATGTTGAGTTACATTGTTTCACAGACGAAAGGTTTCTGGAAGTCTTGGCGGATTACGAATCAGGAAGAATGAAGGAACGCTTTCAGGAAGAACTTTCTCTGGTTGGAATTAAAGTGGAAGGACTGAAGGTGAAGATTAAAAACACGGAGGAGGTGAATGAAACGAAAGAAGCGATTAGAACAAGGTACATGATAAGGCTCCATCTTAGGATAGGTGAATAGTTACAAGTTAACAGTTAATGCGCGTCCTTTGCAATATAATAAATCAAAATCAACGTTATATAAGTATTCTGAGAATGCTTTCACTGACCGGGATCAGGTTATAATGGCATAACGCTATACCTTAGCTATTCCAACTTTTCATAGGGAGAACAAGTGACTGTTAAGTAGGTCTCCTCTCCTTTGTGCATTTACGAGGTTTAAAACTCCTAGGAATTGTTCACTCTTTTTCTTCTTTAACTTTGGTATTAGCAGCTTTTTAACTTTGTTATATCTATTTCAGTAATATATGTAAGGTGACAGTTTTAACACGGCTTCTTATAAATATTTTTTTGACTTTTTCCAGCTCATTGAGTAAATCTTTAGCACATGCATTTAACAACAACCATGTATATTGGATAACGTCAATTTGTTGTCTAACACAGGTCTCATATCAACAAGGATCTTGGCGACAAGGTCAATAACTGTGAATTTAGTGCTGTTGTGAGTGAAAAATTGAAACGTGTTCAGGTAATTAAATATGATCGATCGTCATTTGTTAATGTCAGTGATCCTCAGCGAGGATCACTGAGTATTTGAAAAACTGAAAAAACAGGAAGGCATTTTACTCAAGTTCCTGAGCTTAGGAAGATTCCATTAGAGACTTTGTTAAGCTAAATCAATATATTTCCTTTCCTAAAGATGATTTCGTATATTTAACTGTCATTCCTAGATAACAGATAATGTCGACGCGATTGAAACACGCAACGACCTTGGAGCGAAAACACATGAAGTGAAGGACTACAAGTCAGCTTTAGAGTCCTATCAAAAAGCTCTTGGAGTGAAGTTGAAACTATACGGAGAAGATCATCTTTCCACAGCTGACACTTATTACAACATTGGAATCACACAACATCAGATGAATGATTACAAGTCAGCATTAGAATCGAATAAAAAAGCTCTTGATATCCGATTAAAACTGTATGGAGAAAATCATCCCGACTCCGCTCAATGTTATTTTAATATTGGATACATTCAACATGACATGAAGGATTATAAGTCCGCATTAAAGTCAAATCAAAAAGTCCTTGAAATTAGGTTAAAACTATACGGAGAAGATCACCCAGACGTGGCTAACAGTTATTACAACATGGGAATCACACAACATGAGATGAAAGATTACAAGTCAGCGTTGGAATCACATCAAAAAGCTCTTGACATTCGATTAAAGTTGCACGGAAAAGATCATCCTGCAACAGCTGACAGTTATTGCAACATTGGAATCGCACAACATGAGGTAAAAGATTACAAATCAGCGATAAAATCGCATCAAAAGGGCCTTGAAATTACAATAAAGCTGTTTGGAGAAAATCATCCTTTGACTGCAGACTGTTATCACAATATTGGAATCACACAACATGAGATGAAAGATTACAATTCAGCGTTAAAGTCGAATCAAAAAGCTCTTAAAATCAGGTTAGAACTTTATGGCGAAGATCATCCTACAATAGCTGACAGTTACTGCAACAATGCGATCACGTATCATGCGATGAAGGATTACAAATCGGCATTAGAATCGAGTAGAAAAGCTCTCGAAATCAGATTAAGTAATGGAGAGAATCATCCTGACACAGCGGACAGTTATTACAACATTGGAATCGCACAGAATGAGATGAAAGATTACAAATCAGCATTAGAATCGAATGAAAAGGCTCTTAACATCAGATTGAAAGTATGGAGAAAATCATTCTGAAACAGCTCAAAGTTATTTCAACATCGGATACACTCAAAATGATATGAAAGATTCAAAGTCAGCTTTAGAGTCGAATAAAAAAGCTTTTGAAATCAGATCAAAACTTTTTGGAGAAGATCATCCTTCCACTGCAGACAGTTATTACAACATTGGAGTTTCACAACACGCTTTGAAAGACTACAATTCAGCATTACAGTCGAATATAAATCAGAATCGTATTAAAATGTTTGGAGATGATCATCCTGACTCGCTAAGAATTTAACATTGGATACATTCAACATGATATGAGAGCTTACAAATCAGCATTGGAGTCGCATCAAAATGCTCTCAAAATTAGACTCAAACTATACGGAGAAAATGATCCTTCGACAGCTGACAGTTATTATAACATTGGGATCATACAACACGAGATGAAAGAATTTCAGTCAGCATTGGAATCGCATCAAAAAGCTTCAAAAATTAGAAGAATGCTCTATGGCGAAGATCCTCCTGGTTCGCCTAACATCGCACAACGTTACTACAGTACAACTCAGAGTTAAATTCGAAAGATCAGAAGCAGAAAGATCTTCAAATCGCTTTGGTATTGATTAATTTTTGGAGATTGACACCAGTCGACCCTAAAGTGAAAGTTGTTGTAATACATCGTTGGTACAAATTATTCGAGTCATAAACCGTGCAATGAAAAATTAACTGTTGTATTAAAAGCTACTGCATGACTATCAAATGAAAACTGCGTGCATAGAAGAGAGTATAGGGCTGGATCAATATTTAGGCCAGTGGCAGCAGCCATAATTAAATTGTCCAAAACCCATTTTTTTCGTGCAAAGTTTTCTGCAGAATGTGGTTATACATTCTAATTGTGAAAGAAAAAATATTTGAAAAAATTTCCCGGACACTAATTTATCATCATTTATTCTTCCTAAATTTGCAGGAAAATAACCCATTTAGCTTTACCAATTTTGCCAAAATTGACGACTTTCCAAAACTTTCTAAAATTTTGTTAACATTCCAAAAATGGCTTCCTAAGATTGAACTCTGGTTTTTGAGCATATTCGGTTTGTTTTGGAACATTGAAAAAGTCATCAAATCTGCGTAATTAAGTATAAAAACCCTTCGTTGCTTGCAGTGAACGTGTAATTAATCCCAAATCACCGCATTGAGCATCGTATAAAACTTATACTGAACCTGTGACTCTTGAAGTCACACACTGCGTTTTTTAGTCTCTGTCTTCTTCTAAACGGGGCGCTGTGGGATTTTCTATACTTATAGGTTGGTACGACACATGGCCCGGTGGCCTAGTGGTTTAAGCACTTAAGGCTACGACCTACCAGTTTGTAAGCGTAGGTTCGTATCCTGGTTGAAAGGTTCAATTTTTCCGGCTACCAAAATTACCATTTTATTTAAAATTCCTCGAAAAGGATTTAGTCAAATAAATGTTTACTTACATTACTCATTTGACAAAATTTGACAAAAATTTGGCATGGTGATTTTCTCGACGAGATGAAAAAAAATACATTTTTCACTTTTTGAAATTCTCTTAAATTTTTAATTTAAGGTGGCTCCCTAGAATTTTGTAAAAATTCTAGATAGTAGGTTTGTTGTGGCGAATTAAGCCCTAATATTGCAGACTAAAGATCAATAATACTTTTGATTATATTGTGGAGTACGTTAGAGATGAGAAACCGTTGACGGATTAACTATGAAGGCCGTTGCTATGGAAACAATGAGGTTTCAACATGGCTGCTAATTATAATTCAATTGCAATTATTTCGTGAATCCTTCGGTGAATTTTTTTTATTTTTCACCAAATGCTTTGAAGGTCATATAGTAAACGACCAGACAATTTTAAAAGAAAGTTATCGATAGGATTTTTTTAATTGCGTAAAACCATATTTTCCCCATTTAATTTTTTTGTATCGATAACTTTTTTCTTAAAATTGTCCTGTCAATGGACCACTTGCATAATAGACCAACTTCAGATCTAGGTGACAAGCAGGAAATATATCACAACAGCTAAAAAGAACATACCAAAATTAGTAAAATTGCCAAGTTTGGTTGCAAAATGTAAAGTAGTACGGAAGATATAGCCATGCGAAGTTGCCAATTTTGTATACTTTTTTATTACGGCTGGAAGCGTGTAACTAATTTAGTTACACGCGTCCGGCCGTAATACAAAAGTATACAAAATTCGCCAACTTCGCATGGCTATATCTGGGGCACTTTACAATATTTCACAGCAAAACTTGGCAATTTTACTAAGTTTTGTATGCTCTTTTAGGAAATTCCCTTTTGTCACCTGAATCAAAAGTTGGTCTATTATGCAAGTGGTCCATTACTAACCATCTGGAAAAATGTTCAGTGGAAAAAGAAGACATTTCACCGAAGGGTTTGTGAAATAATCGTAATTTAATGAAAATTGGTGGCCATATTGAAACGTCATTGTTCCCATGGAAACAGCTTCTATAATTGGTCAATCAATATTTTCTTATTTCGAACATGGTACTCAATACGTTAAAGCTAATTTCAATCTATAGTTTACAATGTTGGTGCTTAATTCTGCATCATCAAACCTACACTTAAAAAATTCTCAAAACCCTAGGGAGCCACCTTAAGGTAAAAAAATACATCTGTCTTGGACTCTGTGTTGCGGCACAGTAGCCGAATACTTCAGACTTATCCCGGTTTTCGCAGACGTTTGAAGGTTCAACTCACAGTTTATAGTGCAGTTAAAGTTTGAATGAATTAATTTATTGAGAAGGATTATAATGCTGTCAAATGAATGTTCAAACGATTTTACAAGTTCCTCTTCTGTAGAGGTTTTAACGCTGCAGACCTATTAAAAAAACAAACGCTAGTGATGTGTCAACTAAATAGTAATTTTTACATTACTTGTTTAAAATGCTTAAAAAAGAATTAAACTACAGAAACACGCATAAAACCCAAACTACAGGGGCCGGTTGTATAAAAACGTCGTTAACTTTTAACTATAGTTAGTAACAGAATTGACCAATTAGAGTCCTGTATTTCTGAGTTAACTACGATTTAACTACGCAAAATGTAGTTAAGAGTTTTATACAACTGGCCTCAGGCAATTTGCATACAAATCTGTGATCCGGTGGAGATGGTGGTTGCAACCTTCCCACAGGGATGGTTGTTGGAAAGGCGTTTAGCTTTAAAAGCGGGATAAGTTCAAAATGGAGAGCAAAATTATCCATTTACTGTAACTAAGAGCCGAAATATTTCGATGTTAAAAACTTCGAATACGGGCAAGAATGTTTTCATTATTGACATTGAAAAAGGATTAGGTGAAATAAAAATAAATAACTGTAGCCTTTAACATCGATATCATGCAGCCTTGATGGTCTTGTGGTGAAGCTAATGGCTTCGCAACCCAAGATACATATATATGGTTCAAATCCTTGGAAAACCTTTCTTCGATCATGCTAATTAGATCTTTGCAGAAATGCGTCATGCATGCAGGTATACTATTATTAATTATCTACGCTTGTGATGTGTGCACGCGGTCATTTGTGAATTATGTGCACAATTGCAAGAAGTTAATAAAATTTCAAACGTCCCTCATTCACCTCATTTCATAACTAAATCAACCTATTTTAGCTGGTAGTAAATGCAGTGAGTACCGAGCCATTTTTAACATTTTAAGACAGTTCTTGAACAGTTCAAAAAGTCGTCAAAATTGACTAAAATGGTAAGGGGTAAGCCTGACCATTTGGTCAATTTTGACGACTTTTTGAACTGTCCAAAACTGTTTTAAATTGCTAAAAATGGCATCCTAAGACTAATATCTTTCATTTTAAAGCATATTTGGTTGCTTTTTGGAACATTAAAAAGTCGTCAATTTTCACCAAAATGGTAAGGCTTACCCCTTACCATTTTTGGTCAATTTTGACGACTTTTTGAACTGTTCAAAAACTATCTTAAAATGCTAAAAATGGCTTCCTAAGACTAATATCTTTCATTTTAAAGCATATTTGCTTGGTTTTTGGAACATTGAAAAAGTCGTCAAAATTGACCAAAATGGTAAGGCTTATCCCTTACCATTTTGGTCAATTTTGACACTTTTTCAATTGTTCAAAAAGTGTCTTAAAATGCTAGAAATGGCTTACTAAGACTAATATCTTTCATTTTAGAGCATATTTGGTTGGTTTTTGGATTATTGAAAAAGTCGTCAAAATTGACCAAAATGGTAAGGGGTAAGCCTTACCATTTTGGTCAATTTTGACGACTTTTTCAATGATTCAAAAAGTGTCTTAAAATGCTAAAAATTGCTTCCTAAGAGTAATATCTTCATTTTAGAGCATATTTGGTTGCTTTTTGGAACATTGAAAAAGTCGTCAATTTTGTCTTCAAGTATTAAAATGTATTATTTTACGGTAAGTACCAACACGGATGCGGTGGCCTAGTGGTTAAGGCTACCGCCCTACCAGGTTGTGAGCGTAGGTTCGAATTCTGCCAGGGAGATGTGCATTTTTCCCACCTAATTTGCTATTTAATTTAAAATTCTGCGAATAGGATTAAGTCGAATAAAGAACAAGAGCTTTTGATTAATGATGAGGTGGCCCAGTGGGTTAAGGCTACGGCCTACTAGGTTGCATGCCTAGGTTCGAATCCTGCATGGGAAAGTTCGATTTTTCCACGGAAATTATTCTTTAATTTAAACTTCATCGAAAAGGATTAGGTCAAATAAAGAACAATAGCTTTCGACAAATGATGCGGTGGCCTAGTGGTTAAGACGTTCGTTTCTCAATCCGAGGACAGACGTATCAACTCCGGGCAATGCAAGAAACTTCGCCTTAAAAATTTCGGTGTGATTTGGAAGCCTTTAAAACTACTAAAAGACTCCTCGGCCTTTCGGAAAGACTGTAAATTGAAAAAAATTGAAATAAAAAAACTTTAAAAAATTTCTCGCGTTCAAAACTACCTAAAAATTGAAAGAAAGCACAAGTAAAAAAAGTGTTTAAAATCATGTGTCTTCTAAT